GCAGATTCAGGCTTTATTCAAGGGGTGCCGTTCCGCCTAGCAAGCACCTGCCTGTCGCATGTACTGCACAAGTATGACTGCGAGCACGGTACTGTACCTACAAGTATGATGCGGCAGATGAAATACCCTACGGTAGGAGGGAGGGAAAGCAGGGAAAAAATCTGAGCACGGTTGTGTGAACAAACAAACTTGCGGTCCAGGTATTCTATGTCCGTGCAATGTGAACGAATGAATTAGCACTGGCCAGTTGTCGCGATCAGCCTACACAGCCGGAGATTTGATGGCTTGGGTTTAGGTGAGGCAAGTTCTAATTCTAGATACCTGCATGGAATGGAACCTGCGATATGTTGGTTGTTGGTTGGAATTGACTTATCCGAGTGCTTTCATAAGTTTGCTGCTTTTTCTCACCCGAGAAAGAGCTCGTTTGCTCTGACGGGTAGGAACAGGATAGACACGGTGGAAATATGCTTTCTTAGTATTCATAGTGACAGGCAAGCGCAAATAAAGCCTATGTGCGAGTAGCTATACTGCGTACGGAATTCTGAATCGGTGATGGACGTGCTCACATAAAAAAGTTTAGGGTTCAGGTTGGTGGGTGGGAGAGTGAAGACTCGCTTTGCTCGTTGCCGCAGAGCACTTGTACTCGAGTGCGGTACGGTACTCGGAAGGGGAAGGAGAAGAAAGTGCTTTTTCTTCCGCAAGCATGGCACGCGGGTTATTGTAGGAGATCCGATGTTGTCTTTCAGGGGGGGCGTCTGGGGTCTGGTTGCTGAGAAGGCGTGGGGGGGAGAAGCTGGTAAACCTTAGCCGGGGACATTTGTCTCCTTTTGTCGGACTCTAAGACTGCCTCCCGAGGGTTACGGTAGGGTAAAAAAGGATACCGTACGATATGATACATTGTGAGAACAATCGAAGCTAAGCTATTATTGGCCGATGGCACACAGCCCCAGACTCAACTTGATATCGAAGCCGGGGGGCGGGTCCTGAACAAGCGATTTCTGTCTTTCCAACTTCCCCCCCGACTAACCCCCCATGCTTCTTCATTAATTGTGCCCCCCCCCAATGTCCCATAGATATGAACCAGTCCAATAAGGCTCTGCCCCTATGATCTACCCAAGAGAAAGGGTGAATCCGAAGGGAACGCTGTAAGCAGAGTAAACTTATCATGCTCATACAAGTACTCAATCCTGGCCGTGGGTAGTAAACCTGCTCGCTCACGTTGGCGCGATTTGCTTATTTCAGGTCTTTGATACCGACCGCACCTCCGTGCTAGTACAAGTACCAGTACAGTACAAGCACGGTGCGGCACCATTGATTGATATCACTGACTTCCAACGTATTAGACCGGGAGGCACCGGTAGGCCAGAGGAGAAACGGGTCAGTTAAAACGCACCGGAAAGGTAGAAGTCTGGAAACTTCAATTGGCGTCCAACGGTAGGGGGAACTGAGAAGAGTAGGAGATATTCCTGATAGCACAGTATGATGTGCTACTAGTAGATTTGCCCTTTCTGTGCTGAGTTCGGAGGTTTGATCTTGTCGAAGATTCTGCAGTGATTCTGCAGTGAGGATTCGAGCAAAATTCACATACGGTAGTCTACAAGGGGTTTCACTTCTGCGTCTGGCCCACTTCCCGGTCCGGTGCGTCACAACCGTGGAACACCTAAGTGCTCGAGTACCGGTACAAGCACAGTACAAAAATTGCCAGGGGAGATGTTTTCGCACAGGACAGGGATTATTTTGCGGGTTAACATAAATTAACTGTTCACTAACTTTCCGGCAGGTACTCATACAGGGGTGGGGGAGGTGCACATTAACCGGAGTTGACAGGGATCTATGTGGCTTGTTAACCTCAAATAACTACAAGCACGGTCTTCCATACAAGTAATTTCTTGCCGGACCTTGCACTTGCACGCACCTCGTCCAAATAGTCTACATATTTCGCCACTAATTGGTCGAATCTTATTAATCATAGCCTATTGTGCAAGCCAATCAGTGGGGACTATGTATCGTATTTGGGTGTTCCGTGATTGTATATAACTTTTTGCTTTTTTGCCCTCGTGCTGCCGGGGCTGGATGAGGGAAGCGTTAGTGCGGCGATGGATACCGTTCTTTGGAAACTGATGCGAAGCGATCAGGCAAGGCTGAAAGGGCAAAAAAAAAAAAATAGAAAGAGGGGTAAAAATAAATAACCCCCCCAGGACCGGACAAACCTCGCTACTGTGCGAACACAATAGATTAATCGTTGGCTGCAGTAGCGAAGCCGAAGAACAAAGGGAAGGGGAAGGGGAAAGGGAAGAATGGAGGGAAAGGGAAGAATGGAGGGGGGAAGTGAAGTGAGGGGCCGTGGGAAAGAAAAAAAAATCCCTGAGACGGAGCCGATTTCCGCGGGTCGCTACTTATTGCACTGTGCTTGCTTGCTCGCATGCTCCCGTTATTCGGCCCTAAGATTGACCCATTGACTACGATACCGCATAATCTCGGTTTAACTTAGGGACTTTTCCGGCTGTCATCATCCACCCTCCCCCCCTTCCCACAGAGGATGATGCACGTTAGGTAGGTGCAAACCTATCGCATGAACGAGCGGGTTTCTCGAACGTTTTAAGGGAAAGGGGAAAGGTTGATTATGGGAAAAAAAGATAGATTGTATCCGACACGGGAAGATTGGAGTGAAAATAATCAAATCTCCACAAGTTCCCGTGGGTGGTTGGGGTTTTTTTTCTCTCTTTCGCATACCGGTATTATGTAGCGGGGAAATGTCATAGCGGGTTGTTGTCGAGTGGCCAGAACGGCAAATAGACCACGCGCTATCTCTAAGGTTCGTGTTTGTTCTCAAATGTCCTTAAATGGGTCTTGGCGGTTTACATAAAACCTTAATTCGACATCGTTCTATTCCGGCAAAGTGGACAAGACATCATAGATTTCGGGGGATGGGGCCGGGGAAGGGAAGACGATAAGAAAATAGACCAGAAGTCGGAGTCGGGTGGAAAATATTTCCTCTGGTTTGGTCTGGTTTGGAGAAGAGATTATTCTCATAATATTATTGTTTCTTGAACGGTGTTGAGTCCGCAGAGGTGAGCCATAGAATGTTCTTTTTTTTTTCTTTCTTTTTTTCTTAGTCAGGACTTTTTGCTTATTACTCTGGGATGATGGGGGAAATGGGTGTGGGCGTGGGTGTGTGTTGACGTGTGCTGTCGTAGCCGAGCCGGCCAGAAACTCTGACGACAGCACAAGGGAATACCCGGCAGAGCCTCACTCCCTTGCTTCTCAGAAGTTGCTTGTGTCAACTTCCGACCTGGTTGCGAGTTGGCTATGGCGCGCTGGCTATGGGTTAGGGTTACCACGAGGTGCCAAGCGTTGGAGCGCCGCCACCCCGGCCTCGAGGAAATCAGGCGGCGAGCCGATCCGAATTCTTTTGCCCCCTTGAAGGATAATTTGTTTTTTGTTTGTGTCTCTGCGACCACCCGTTTCATTACTTTTTCCCCACTTTTCTTTTTATTTTATTTTATTTCATGGCTCCAGCTGCATCAGCGAACTTTGACCAGTCTATATCGGTATCACCCTCTCTGTTCCATGCAACGCCACTTTTATATCCAATGGACGATCGCAAATGTCGGATACCTTCCTTGACATGTAACTCGCCTCTCTCGACAAGATGGGAGCGGGCAGGTGAGGTGATTATAGGGAAAGAGACTTTGAAGTAGTATCTACACGTGACGGCGATCGGTCCTTTTAGATGGAAGCGGGAGGCGGCAGATATAAAAAGTAAGCATCCGGATGTTGCAGAGTTGCGACAGCAGGAAGGGCGCCCCCAAGGAATAATCCCCGAATGTGATCAAAGCGCGGAGAGGGGAAAAAGTGAGAAGTAATGATACCGGTAGGTGGGTACCGGTACTCTACTCGAGTACGAGTAGTGACGGTAAGGAATGTTTCTCGTGGGAAATGGGGGGAAAGGGGGGGGGGATGAAAAGTGAATAATCAGTCAGTTTTAAAAGAGTCGCTGGGGGAAGGGCAACAACGATACTATGGGCCAATTGTGAAGAGGCTGCTGGTACGAGTATTGCCTGATGCAAAAGGAGGATCTTCGATGGGGATTTTTTTACAACATGCCGTAAATTTTTTCTTCTTTATTCATTTTTCCTGTCCGTCTTGGAAGGAGAAGGGGAGGGGGGTTTGGATGTGTGGTGTGGGTGAGAGTGAGTGTGGATGAACGAATGAATCTACGGGTGCTTTTACTGTGGTTTATCATAACAGTTTTGGGTGTGTGGGAGGGCAAATTCGACGGTATGCTCCTGTGTGGTAAGTAGCTGTGGGTTGAGTTGGGCTGGGTGTGGTAGAAAGAAAGATGGGTGTTACAATAATCGAGCGGACGAGCAGACGAGCGGAGGATAGATGGGTGTGTGTGGTACTCGAGTAGTGGTGGAAGGAGTGGAAGGAGTTGGGTGGGTGGTTGTGGTTTCTGGCGTTGCGGTGTTGCCCTCGTGGGAGTGAAGACCAGTGTGGGGCATCAGTTCGCGCTAAGGTTTAATAGTTGCAGGCAGGACATACATACAGCTTACAGGCATGCAGAACAAAAAAACAGAAAATCCGGTGCCACACCCCCCTTCTTCCCTGGACTGCGCTAAGCAGCAGCTGCATGCCAAGACGACTGTGCGAGTTTCATCCACTTTCTGCTCCCAGACGAGCAGGATGGGTGGTGGGTGGCTGCTGCCTCTTGTCTCCGCCCTTTCGCTCTTCCCTGCCGCTGCAGTACTGCCGTTCTGTGCGACCACTCCCCGAGCCTTTTTTTCCCTACCACTATTTCGCCAACCTCACCGCTGTGCGTCCTGTCGTCGCTGCTTCCTGCTTCCTGCTTCCACTCTTGCTGCTGCTTGCTGCTCGTTGCTTGCTTCCTGCTGCTGCTGCTCTCCCTCCTCTCCTCCTCTCCTCTTCCTTCCTTCCTCCCTTCCCTCCTCTCTTCCCCCTCCTCTTCCTCTCTCTTCCTCCCTCTCTTCCTCCTTCTCCTCTTTCCTTTCCCTTTCCTTCTTCCCCTTCCCCTTCCCCTTCCTCTCCGCCTCTATCAAGTCTGCGCTGCTGGGGTCCTGAACAACTCCGCTCCTTTGTAACGGGAAGCAAAGCAACCATAACCCATTATTCCGTCCATCACCGCTACCGCTACACACAACCCTATACCAGGAGCAGCAGCAACCACCACAACCCACCCACCCAGTGCAGTGCTACCACTACCAAGACAACCCCATTACTACTACTACCGCACCCGCTCCTACTACATCTACCACAACTACAACCCATCAAACCCTCAACCCATCAAACCCCGTCAACCACAACCCTAACAATTTCTATTATCATTGTCATCACCGAAAGAGTAATCCTCCCCTCGCCCGCCACTACCCCTCATTTCTCCATAACGTCTTAGCTGTACCATCACCATCTGTCGCGTCGCGAGTCCATTCTTCCCCTGCGTCTTCCGTCCGAACTGGCAGCCGGACTGAGAGGACACGCATCGGCTGTTGCTTCGAGCACGTTTTGAGTCGGTCCCAATCATCACGATCTTGATTCTCGCTAGACACTTTTTATCTTTGTTTTCATCCTTTTCTCATCTTTAGTCGACACACTTCGCTTGCAAGCTTTGAGTCTTTTCTACCCTTACGAATCCTAAAAAAAAAAAACTTTAAACGACGTCCCCTGGTAGCTCTCTTTTCATTTTCTAAAAGAGTAACGCACCTCCAACCCCAAATTCTTTTTTAAGGGAAAAAAACCTTTACTCCATATTGATCAACCAACCCGGTCGGCGTTTTTTTCTTCTTTCTTTTTTTTCCCCCTCTTTTCATCCAACTAATAGCAAAATTATCCATTTATTCAACTATCTTAATTCACCGCACGCTGCGTTCCACTCCTTCCTTTCTCCCCTTGGATAAATTCGATATCTTTTGTGGACATGGCTAGTGTCCAGCACACAACTTCGCCGGGACAACCCCAGGCCCTACATCAAACAAATGGACATCCTCCACAATCAATACAACAGCAACAGTCGAAACCGACCGCTTTTCAGCAGTTGACACAGGTGAACGAGGCGGTATGGCTTCAAATCGGTATGCTGTCATTGCCCCTGGTTTCCGCCCCTCCGGCCCCCATGTTACTCCCTGCGCTAAACTCTTTTTTCAGGTAGCGTTACCGAATTGATGGGTGATCTGGATCGGGCGATGGCCGCGTACGAAAATGCCCTTCGCCAAAACCCGTATTCCATCCCAGCGATGAACTCTATATCGTGTATTCTTCGTACCAAAGAACAATTCGCCAAGGCTGTCGAATACCTACAGAGTATTTTGAATCTGGACGCGACCAATGGGGATATCTGGGGCAGTTTGGGCCATTGCTATTTGATGATGGACGAATTACAAAAAGCCTACTCGGCTTACCAGCAAGCGCTATATCATTTGCGTGATCCAAAGGTACTTTTATATCCACGGTAGTCCTAGGTTGTGCTTAACTGGGTTGACCCTTTTTCTTTCCTTTCTAGGAACCGAAGCTTTGGTATGGAATAGGAATTCTGTATGACCGTTATGGGTCATTGGAACATGCGGAAGAAGCGTTTTCTCAAGTGATGCGCATGGAACCTAATTTCGAGAAAGCGAACGAGATTTATTTCAGGCTTGGTATAATCTACAAACAACAGGAGAAATATCGTCAGAGTTTGGAAGTATGTAGCAAATATATATATATGTATAAATTATCTTTATCTAACATGTGGTTTTAGTGTTTCCGGTACATTGTTACCGATCCCCCACGCCCCTTGACGGAGGAGGATATCTGGTTTCAGATCGGACACGTTCATGAGCAGCAAAAGGACGTAAGTGAGCTCCGGAAATTTGATTGATCTTGCCTGCGATTGTTGAGAGACTAATTGCTTCATAGTATGCATCGGCAAAAGATGCGTACATGAGAGTCCTTGATTCCGATCCTAACCACGCCAAGGTTCTTCAGCAGCTTGGTTGGCTTCATCACCAACAGAGCAACAACTTTTCGAGTCAGGAGCTGGCCATTGAATACTTGGAGAAGTCTGTTAGTGCTGGTAGGGATTTCATCTCGGTAGTGCTATTGATTGGATGAGGCTAACCATGATGTCATTGTAGACAATTCAGATGCCCAGAGCTGGTATCTGCTTGGGCGATGCTATATGTCGCAACAGAAGTACCCGAAAGCCTACGAAGCCTATCAACAGGCAGTTTATCGCGACGGTCGCAATCCGACTTTCTGGTGCTCAATTGGTGTTCTTTATTATCAGATAAACCAATACCGTGATGCTCTTGATGCCTATTCTCGGGCTATCAGGTTGAATCCATACATATCAGAGGTTTGGTATGATTTGGGAACTTTGGTAATTATAACCTCAATGGCACTTGTGCGACGATGGTTAAGAATTACACTAACCCCTGGCAGTATGAGTCATGCAATAACCAGACGAATGACGCTCTGGACGCCTACCAACGTGCAGCCGAGCTCGACCCCACCAACCAGCATATCAAAGCTCGTCTTTCACTTCTGCGCAACGGCCAATCTTCTGGTGTTCAGCATCAAGCCTCGGCGCCTCCCCCGCAGGATGTGCATCCCCAAGCATACCAGGCTGCTGGGGTTGGTGGGCCTCCAGGACCGCAATGGGGATCCCAAGCGCCCCAGGCGCCTCCACCCGCACCCTCTGGCCCCCCACCAACACTTCCTCAAATCCCACAGCCCCCGAATCCGTCGTCATATCGACCGACAGATGTTCCTCCTCAGCCTCCTCAGCCGTCCCGTCATATGGCCCACAGCCCTGATGATTTACGTAGACCAGTAGAAGATAGGCACACGCAACTAAGACGTGGATTGTCACCTTCTCCCAAATTTCCTAATCATTCCCCCCATCCCAGCTACCCTCCCCCACCACTACAAGGCCCCCCGCCACCACAGCAGCAGCCCCAACAACAGCAACAGCCACCCCCAAATCGTATCCTAAACCCACATCATAACCTCCATAATCTCCCTCCTGCCTCCAATAACCCTGGGGGGATTTCTCTGCCTCCTTATGGTGGTCGTGGGGCAAGCCCACCACCAGATGTTAAGCCTATTGTTGATGATCGACTGCCATCCCCTAACACATACCCTCACCACCCCCACCACCCTTCATCACAGGGTGGCATCGCCGGCGGCGCACCGCCACCAGCTTCAGCTGCAATGGCTGCGGAAGCCGCTGCACGTGAGCGGGATGAGAAAATTCATCATAACAAACGGGGAAGGGAGTGGGGGGAAGATGGGGGGCAAGGTATGGTGAAGAAGCCAGCTTCAGAGGAGGCCAAGGCTAGGATGGATGATATGCACCATCACCGTCAACCATCGCCTGTGCGAGCTTCCTCGCCGCATCGTCCGGAGCGGCGACGAAGCTCATCGGAGAGGCCAAAGGAGGACTACCACCATGGGCCTCCAGCACCTTTGCACACGCCAAATGTGCCACCCCTGCTAAGTCATCAACAGCTGCCGCCTATCAACGATGGGCCGCGAATGTCAGAGCCTCCACGGATTGCTGATGTCCATCGGGTGTCAGAAGCTCCCCGGGATGATCGCAAGGAGATCGTGGAGCCAGCGGCGAGGAAAGTAGAATTGGATGAGGACTACGATAATGAAGAAATGGGAGATGCTGATCGGGTACCCGGAGGAAATCCAGGCGTTCAAGTGAAGGAGAATAATAGCCCAGTGGGTAATGGCACGAATGGTATCTCAGGAGGGGGGGCGCCCGGAGACAATTAAAGCAATTCCTTGTGCTTTATGTTTCTTCTCGGGAAAGTTAATGTTTGTTTGTCCTGTATTTCTCGTTTTACACCTTACCCTGGAGAGAAGAAAGGAATACCGTCAAATTCAAATCTGTTAGTTTCCCTTTTCTCTTTATAACTATCATACTTGTTCTTTTAGTCACTTTTTTTCTCCTTCAGTCGAAGTGGTAGCGATTATCCTTTGCTTTTGTATTTTTCCTTTTACTGCTTTTCTTTTCTCAATTTTTCTTTGGTATCACGGTTGTTATTTTTTTCTTCTAACCTTTCCTTTCCCTTTCTTCTTGCCTCCTTCCATTTAACCCCCCAAAAAAAGGTCCTGTACGATTCCCGTGGAATGGGGGGGGAGTGTGTATGTGGTGTGTGTGTGTGAGCAAACTACGGTAGACCGCTAAGATATTTTATTCTGGAAAGCCTTTCTTTCTCCCGGTTGATGAGAGAGTTCGTCCCATTGTGAAGTGTCCCGTTCGTCCGTTCCCGACCGATTGACTGGTTGGGTTGATCACATTAATCGTCATGCCTTCCTTCTCCAAATATCCCTCGCTGCTGCTGCTACTACTGCTATGAAACTATTATACCTGTACTCGTTTGCTATTATCACTACTACTCTGCTATTTATATCATAGGGATTATCATTGCACTGTAGTTGTTTTTTGACGCACCATATCTCGAGGCTACGAGATAAATCAAGTTCCCACTCCGTTTGCTTGCTTGGTGTCGTGTTCGTTGCTTCCAATGTACTCGAGTACTGTATGGCAGCCTCCTCCTCCCTCACCGTCCCATCCTCCCGCGCGCCTTGTAATGCGCCCACCCACCCCCATCTTTCTTCCACAATCTCATATCGAAGCCACCCACCCCACACAATCACATATCCACCACCGCTATCCTTCTACACTTATCTATCATACAGCACCCCAAAACTTAAGTCACCGCAGGAACTGTCTCTCCCGGCGAGAACAGTAGACTACGAGTAAAACACCCATCCATCCGTCCATCCATCCATCCATCCATCCATCATCATCAAACCGGAAAATTACCCGGCGATATCTAGTATCATAATAATATTTATCATAATATTATTATCATCATAAAGTTACCACAGCAAGGGGGGGAGTTGGGTTGAGATTTCAGGACACACGTGCGGATAGGTCCGGTAAGAAACGGTAGGGCTGGGAGGGTTTGCAACGTACCGGTAACCTAACTTTGGCGCGGGGCGAGAGCACCGGCGGTCCAACCGAGCAACGGAGATTACTGTAAGTTTTGGGTTTGCTTGGGAGAAGGGGTAGGAGTTTGGGAGCATTTTCAATTTTTAATTTTTAATTTTTTTTTGTTTACTGTGACTTAAGTCTCCGGTTTTATTTTAGGCATGACGAACGAGTACCGGTACAAGTACACGTACTGTACTCACTTCCTTGTGGGGGTGAAGTTGGCGGCGCTTGATGCCAGTGTTTGGGGGAGGTTGAGATGTACTCGTACTAGTACTCTTCTGTGTTGGATGGAATGTACGGTATGATGGGAGTTTTTATGATACTCGGTTTCTTTTTTTCTGTCTTTTTTTCTGTCTTTTTTTTTGGGGGGTGCTGTTTTCCTTTAACATGGTGGGTTCAGTTCAGCGAATACAGGATGATGATACTCGGGTAACTTGACATGGTGAGGAAGAGCGTACGGTATTCACGAACGTCACGCACTGCAGCCTCGGATGTCCCCGTCTTGTGGTTCCCATCCATTCGGTCTTTCAAACTTCAAAACCAACTTCACTTTTTGTTTTGTTTTTTCCCTCCTTTCTCCCCCCCTCCCTCTTCCCCGGTCTACCGGTGGTGCTACAGTACGGTACTTATATGATGCCGTATTTACCCTTCCCCGGAATGTCTCATTCTAGTTCTCCCGTTTTCCATTTCGTACGGTGCGAAAAATCGTCCGATGACGGGAGGAAATACTTGTACTCGTACTCGAGTACAGGGTCACTCAACACGATACATACCTATACCATACACGCTATCCCCCGTCAGTCTTTCCGTACCGTATCCTCGTCCGTGTCCACAGCGGGCATGGCGATTACTCGAGTACCGGTACAGTGCTTACTTTGGTAAGCAAGGAAGAGAGTAAAAAACGATATCTGTACCCCCACGAGAGGGGGGGGGAGAAAGAAAGAAAAAGAAAAGGAAAGGAAAGGAAAAGGAGAGAAGGGAAGGGGATGGGTTTAAAAAAAAAAAAGACTTGATCAGATCTATCTGATCCACCGAAACTTTTCTCCTCCCACCTTTCTTCCACCTCCCAAGACTTTGACTTTTTCTTTTCTTCCCTTTGCTTCATAACGAGCACTGAAAACCAGCAGGTTTTGTCTTGGGATGAGAAAAAAGAAAGATGGGGGGACCCTATACTCGAGTATGCGCACCCGATACCAAGAACCAAGCCCTGACCGTTTAACTTAACTTGATGCACAACGAGAGCATTGTCACCGACCGACAAGATAAGACAAAGCCTAGGCAATGCCCAGGCAATGCCCAGAAAATGCCCAGAAAATGCCCAGATATTGCCAATGCCAGACCTCTGGGCGCGATGAAAAATCCCAATTGCTGGGCATCATCAAGGAAGGGGAGGGAAGGGAACGGGAAAGGGAGTTGCCTGCTGGCTGTATGTAACTCGCCCAAGCCAAATCCTTCACCACAGACTTCTCTTTTAATACTCTTCTGATCTCTTGGCCGCAAAGGGGCTTTTTCTTCGTTGGTTTAAATTGAACGAAAAGATCACACAACAAAGAAAAAAAACTCTTGGTTTTATCTCGGCGCGCCGCCGCCGCTTGCTTTGCTTTGCTCTTTTGCTTTGCTTGGTACTGTACGTTCGAGTTTGACCTGTGGTGTTCAAAAGGTGGGTTGGGTTGTTGCCCACATTTTGGCCTTTTCCTTTCACTCTTCTTCTCTTCCCTCTTTTTTCTTCTTCTCTTCTTCATACTAGATATGAGGAGAGAAGAGTGGTGGTGGTGGTACTCTTTTGGTTTCTTCCTGTTCTTTTGCGCCTTCTGACCTTTCGTCTTGTTCCCGTCATGAGATACTTGTCGTCGGTTGCCTTTCACCCCTACATCGATTGAACATTTATTCGCATAAGAGATACGGTACCTACCCACCCTTTTCCCGCCGCCCACGGCCGCCGTGAACAAGAAAGGGAGGGGAAAAAAAAAAGAGGTTATCGCTGTAACGGTTACTGTACTCATTTATTTTCTGCTTTTCAATCCATTTTCTTTTCTTTTTTTCTTGTTCGTTCTTTTTGGGCCTTTCCTTTTTCTAGTTCGTTACCGTGCTCGTACTGTTGTACTGTACGAGTACGTCCTGTGCCCGCTTGTGTGGTGTGCCCCCGTACCGTACCGGCCGGATCTTCTGCATTGCATGCATGGCGCCCAGCGAGAATTATAAGCGGTCGTACGAGGAGGTTCATGGAGCGGTAGTGGATGGGGATTGGGGTGATCGCAATGCGGCGGTAGGGACAAAGACGATGGGGAGGGGGAAGGAGTGTGCCGGAACTAGTATGGCTTCGACTTCCACTACTGTGACAGCAGCGGGGGCGAGAACGACAACAGGAGCAGCGGACGGGGCTAGGCTGAGCGGAAAGGGGAAGGAGAAGGGGAAGAGTGAAGATGCGGAGGGTGGCGCAGATGCCGAAAGGGGTGAGAATGTTGGCGGTGGTAGAGGGGGAGGGAGTTCTGATTCCTTAGGTGATGGAGGTGGTGGAAATGGTCGTAGTGGTGGTGGTGGTCGGAGTGGCGGTAGTGGTGGGGTGGACGAAACGGTGACCCGAGAGGTGGCTTTTTCCCGGCCTCTCGCAAACCCGCAGCAGCATCAGCGAATCAACGAAAGGAGAATACCATCTTCAGTAACCCCTCGCGATGGGTCTCGAGAGTATGATTTAGAATCCTTGGGCGAACATTCACGCGAAGCTTCATCATACGTGTGGAGAGTATTGGTATCCCCCCACTCTTTACCACTCACATTCCCATCTTCTCATTCCTCGTGCAATTCACGTAAAACCCCACATCCACTAACGTAGCAAGTTAGGTCTATTTGCTCCTTGTGAGCCCTTTCCTCTGTCTCTTCAACACCTTATACACGGCTCTAGCCCTCCTCCTATCAACATTCACCTTTCCAGTCCGATCGTTTCTCTCGTCTAATGCCCGATTCTTGTCTCGCAGCACGCATGCCAACCTTGCGTTCCTGCTGCTACTGCACCTGAGGTTCATATATCCAGGCAAACCCCGGCGATCGACCCTTCCCGTAGCAGAGGACTTTGCAGGGCAGAGGCTCGTTCTTGTGCATGTTTTTGGCCCCTTTGTCGCGCCATTCTTCTCTATTGGTGCGGGGGTGTTGGTGTTGCTGTGGGTTTACACTGAAGTGCTGCTCGGTGAGAGGAATGATGGGGGTGGAGCCGAGTATAGAGGCGTCATGTTTGTCAAAGGGAAGTGGGAGGAGTATATACTTAATGGGTTGAAGCCAAAGTATATTGATTCTTCTTGATGTATGGTATTTCTCTTCCCTTTTCTTCAATTTTTCTTCCCACCTTTTTTTTTCCTTGTTGGCCTTTTCTAGGTTGCTTGTTTTTCTTTGTTGGATTTCTTTTCTTTTCTTTCCCCGACCTCACCGTCTCAACCGATCTCCCTGCACCTCTACCCCTTCTTTCTTCCTTCATATGTATCTTTCCAGGTCGGCGTTTGGTCTTTTGCTTTTCATCTCCTTCATTTCCACCCCCTCAACATTTTTCAATAATATGTACATACCACCCTATGATCCTCGAGTCGAGTACCGTACAAACCACCCGAAAATTTCATTTTCGCCTCCCTCTCTTCCTCTCCTCCGCCCCAAAGCCCAATCTTGGTAACCACCCCTGCAAGATCCACCCACCATCCACCACCATTCACTCGTTCCTTCATTCACCCATTCAAAAAAATCGGAAAAATCGGAAAAAGAACCACATGAGGTTTTTTTCGCATTGGCCAACTTTCCTCCCCATCCAAGAGCGGGGTATACTGTATGATATGATAACCGGTAGACCACACGGCTAGCCCAATGATGTAAAAATGCGGCTCTTACTGTAGGTTTAACAAGCGGCTGGATTTGGAACCTGGCTTTGCTTGCATGGGATTGGTGTGGACGAGGGTGGGAACCGTGCACGGAAGAAAGGAGGGAGGGGCAGGGGTGGGGGTGCGGGAGGGAGTGTGATTTGTTGGAAGTTGGCTTTCTCTAACAATGTACCGGTATCATAAATTTACAAGTATCGGTATTTTTAGGGGTGGTGGGTGTGGAGAGTCAGTGTGTGGGGGTAAGATTAGGCTGTGGCGGGGACCCAATGGGAGGTGAAAGGAACGAAAGGAGAATGTGACTTGGTGGCGTCAGAGGATCAGATCAGATTAGATTTCGAGACATTAGATAGATTAGATAATCACCCAACCGACCACCACAGCATTAGATTCTTTTTTTTCTTCCTTCATAGCTTGCTAGTGCGAACTTGACATCGATCATTTCTCTCTCGCCCCAACAAACTCAATGGCGAAAAAGCGCAGGAATCCAACGTCCGTGCAACCCAAAGCTCCCAGAGGGATCGATCCTAATGACGCAAAGATTGGTCCGATTGGTACGTTCTATGCCTTTCACTCGGGGAGCAGAGGAGGAATATTCTAATGGGCGGGCAGGAACATGGGAAGACGTCGCGGACGAGGAAGACGCTTTTCACATATCGAGGGATAAGGTGCTCCTGGAGGATGATGTTTTTGATGGTTTGATTTTTCTACCGTACCCCCCGAATCGCGAGTGCTAATGTTGGAGAAGAGGACGGACCTAGCGATGAGGAAGTTCTTGGGTTGAGGTATTCCGATCAGGATGAAGGTACGAGCGACGGGGACAGTGATGCCGAGAAAGGCGAAGAGGACGAGGAGCTACTAGAAGGCTGGGGAAGCTCCAGGAAAGACTACTACAACGACCCTAGCGCCCCCGAAGAAGCTGAAGAATCTGAGGCGTTAAGGTTGCAATCTAGGCACCTGTCATCACTCTCCGCTAATGACTTTTTGTTCAATGCTGCTGAATGGACTATCGCCGATCCCCCTTCCCCCATCGCTTCCACGACGGTAGCAAAAGTAATTGAACAGCTCCCCTCCGTTCCTTTATCCTCCTTGTCTGAGGAGGAGAGGACAAAGCGCCTCCACCTCCTCCACCCCGAATTTCCACTCCTTGCGAAGGAGTTTTCGGAGTTAGAGCCGCTGCATGCGTCACTGGGACTCTCGGCCGCAGCAGCGGAGGCGGTTGGTGAGACGGTTAGGAGCTCTGTGGCTATCGTCAAGTTTAGGGCACTGAGTGCGTATTTGGGGGTTTTGAGTATGTACTTCGCTGTGCTTACTGCTGGGGATGAAGTTGCGCAGGGGGAGGGGGGAATGCAGGATCATGGGGTTATGGAGGGGCTTGTGAAGTGTAGGGGAATGTGGGAGGCTGTTAAAAGTCTGGAGGTCGAGGAGATCAGTAGTCGGGAGGGACAGGGGAAGAAGAAAAAGAAGAAAAGGATGGGGGAGGATGGGAAGGAGAAGGATGGCAAGCTGGTGAACACAATGGGAGGGAAGGGAGAGCCGGAGAGGAAGAAGGTTAAGATTTGTACTACCGCAGCGTCGAAGGCGCCCTCAAAGAAGTCAATACCAGGACCCACAAAACCCGAGTCAGACTTCGACTCGGATATTGAAATCGACTTTTCCAAACCAACACCCACCGCCCGCCCACCTCCTACAACCTCCACCTTCGCTTCAACATCGCATTTCGGCGACCCCACCTACCTTTCACACCCCGATGCCCTCTCAAAATCTGCTAAAAAGCGTACCCTCCGCTTCTACACTTCGCAAATTGTGTCGAAATCCGCCACGCGCGCGTCCGCCGCCCAGTCACACTCGGGTGACATGGACCTCCCGCACAAGGAGCGTTCGAAGGAGCGCGCGATCCGCTTACAAGCCGAGGCTGCGCGGAAGCGTAGCGCGGCGGACCCGACCGCTGACCTGGGTTACTCCAGCGGCGGCGAAGGCGCTGGCCCTGTCCCTAGGCGGGGGAAGAATGAGAGGGAGGAGGAAGAGGAGGAAGAGGAGGACGAGTACATGCGCCTCCTCAAAACTTCCGGCAAGGAAAAGAAGGCTGCGAAGAAAGCCGCGCACGATCAATCCCGAGACGCACTCCGTTCCGGCGCTCGAGTAGACACGGAATGTGGGGAAGCGGGGGGAAAGAGAGCGATTGGATACACGATTTCGAAGAACAAGGGGCTTACACCCTTCCGCAAGAAGGAGGTTCGCAACCCTAGGGTAAAGAAGAGGATGAAGTACGATGCGGCCAAGAAGAAGTTGGGTAGTGTGCGCGCCGTGTATAAAGGCGGGTTGAAGGGGGCGTATGCTGGGGAGGCTACGGGAATCAAAGGGGGGCTGGTTAGAAGTATTAAGCTCAGTTAGGGGGAATAGGGTGGGGGTATATGTATGTATGTATGATAGATATCTGGGGGAGGTAAAAGGTTGAGTCCTTTTTTATATCGAGACGCTTTGCAGGTGGGATTGTCAACGTTTACCGTAGAGATTAATCGATTTGGACAATTACGGTAGTCAATATCGTGCTTGCTACCCCTCACCACCTCCGCTACCCTACCCCTCGTGGGGGACCACCGCCGCATTTCACCATAAAGTAGCTACATACGCCCTTATCCCCCCACATGCACACAAAACAAGCTATGACACTTCACGATACAACTCGCATACTGTGCCGAAATCGAAATGCAACCCCCCCCCCCCCCCTTCCACTCCTACCAATCCGCAGGAACGAGTAAAGCCAGTCTATCCACAGTAGTGAGCAGAAACTCCCGTGTGCAGTACATAGCTATGATACGGTAGCTACTGTAGCTGGCTGGATGGCGAGTGAGTGATAGGACGAAACTAGCAGGGTGTGGCAGGGGTTGTATCATAGTGCCGATGCTCCGGGAATGAGTGAATGGGTCGGAGGGCCGAGAATGACGGTGCAGCAGCACATGTAATTGAGCTCACTCGATCAGCATCATGGTAATATTGTAATTTACTTACTATACACCCCTCCCGCCCGCTACCGACACGAGGGGAAGGGAAGAGGAAGAATAGACGCTCGGGTATTCAGAGTGTGTGCTGTGCTGTGCTGCCCCAGTGATAGTGCTTTGTTAAATTTCCCCGTTCCCCCATCCCTGAAAATCTAACCTTCCATCCAATCCAATCTTAAATCCCAAACCCCATTCTGTAGGAAAGTATAAAAGAAATGACACAGATGCCACAATGGGGAAGTGAAGGGGAAAAAACGAGAAAAAGAGGGGTGAGTAGGTGTACTAAATACATACATACAGAAGGGGAAAAAGAGAAAAGGAAAAAGAGCCCAAACCAACCAACCGCCCAACCAGACCAACAAAGCCCGCAAACCAATCAATCGGACTATTAGACCAGGCCAAAAATAAAAATAAAAACCAATAACCAACTTATCCCTCAAATACCACTCAACGGAGAAAAAAGAGATGAATAAAAAAAGAGAGAAAAAAAAACACTAATCATCGTATCGTTATCATGTACAAGTGCGCAAAGAAACACCCAGAATCATGCTTTACTTGACTTCAAGCGTATCGATCCGATCGTATACCAGGCGAGAAGCCCGCATTGCCGTAGGCGGGCGGACTCCTCGTTTGATGAGACGCGTGCGATAGTGGCGGGGGCATAGGGTACACGCCCGTGTTTGCATCACGTTGTCTGTGCCATGCCCGGTCGTGCGGTTGGTACCCACCTGTGGGTGGACGCGGCGGGCTCTTCAACGCGGCCTTGCGTGCTCGCCTTCTTCGACAGCAACTCCATATGCAGGAGAAGATGGAAAAGATTACCAGGGCGCCTATACCGACTGATACGCCTATTACGATGTTTTTGTTCTATACTTGTTGGCTCTGGCTCTAGTGAGGGAAGGGGGGAGGGTACCTTATTGATCCAACTCTTAACTTGGCCAAGTGTTGACGAGCCACTGCATACTCCAGCCTTACACCTCCCATCACCGTTACATGGAGTCCCATCGAGGAAATTCTGCTGCATCCGGAAGCAGGTTCCCGGGCCAAACTCCGGGGATGCGCAAGTCAGCTGGCAATCTGTATCCGTGCATGAATGTGTACTGTTGCTCCGGTACTGCCCCATAACCGTCTTGCATTGCAGGTCTCGAGATGTGCATTGCCCACTCGCGCACTGCAGTCCATCGCCACAGGAATCGCCTATAGTAGTAAATGTGATTAGATGGGATGGATTCGCTTCATCAGGCGAGAGTCTCGTGACATACCATTTCCCGAAATGACGTCTGACGGGCAGGTGGCGTTCCTTCCCGTGCATCTCTCCTCGGGATCACAGGGGCCGTTGCTAGATCGGCAGACCTTGTCTTTTGACGCAAACTTGCAACCCGTGCAGCAGTCCTCGTTCGCATCACTGTAGCGGATTATTAGCATAGCTCACTCGCCAAATGTGGTGACCGGGGGGAACACACTCGCAAACGGCGCCATTCTTAAACTTGCAGGTGGTAGGATCGCAGCAGGAGTTGGTTCCGCAGGCCTCCGTTCCACCACAATCACAATCCTCGCCGGGTTCCACGATACCATTACCACACTCATCTTGCGTGATAACGCTAACGTCCCTGTTGGATGTCAAGCAGGACATATCAACACTCTTCCTCTTAAACGCTGAGCAAATATTCCCAACAGTGCATCTAAGATGGTCAGCACGCATTCACTCACTCGAACCAAGCATTATCCAAAACTTACGGACTAAAACCCGAGATGGTATCGGTGGTAGTCGGATTCATCATAAACCTCCCTGCAGCATCACAAACATTCGAGGAGAGCGGACAGCACATGGATGCGGAAGCAATATTTCCCAAACAAGTGGAGGACGTGCAGTCATGCACGGCACCCATGGTATGAGCGATTTCATGAGCAATAACCTTCCATTCCGTCGAGGTCCTGGCAATAACATTGGCCCCGGAGATGAATTGTCCCGCTTGAACAATAGCATCCTTCTGACACAGCATGCCCAACCAGGCGAGCCCAACGGCAGATCCAGTCTCACAAGTGGTCATCAAGGTCCACAAAGCATTTGAATCGTTCGACCGGGTACCCCTCCATTCGGAGAAAAGATTCAGTCGATTCTCGATACTCGAATTAGCAGACGAGCACGGGATATTCCACTTTGCAGTCGCTGGGGGAGTCCCCGGGCAATTCGCATCGCTGATGACGAGAGACGAAAGGCCGAGCGTGATGTTGAAGGTTTTCTCGAAAAGGTTAGATGCCGAGTTGATCTGTGTGATGATGTTCGCTCTAGCCTTCTCCTGGTCGCCCTCGAAGTCGGCGGTGTAAGTGCAGTCAGTGGCAACGCCAACCAATGCGACCAGCCTTGTGCTCGGGCAGCCGTCTGTATTCCCAATCGTATTACGCAAATTTACACCGGCAGAGTTTCCCGTGCCGCCGGTAAACCCATCATTTCCCTCTAGGTTTTGCCTCCTTTTCAGCCCGCCCTGGAATAAATCCTCCAACCCGATACCCGCCCACAGCCGCCCCTTGGGCAATTCCGGCTCCAGAATCATCCTATTAACCAAGTGTCCCGGTTGAACATTAAATTCCAATCTATCGGCCGGACACATAACCCCGGCGCTGTCATCCCACTGCCCAACCCCTCTCCCCACGAGACCTTGATTGTAGAGATCCCTGTCCACAACATCCGAATCCCGGAAAACAACCATTCCCTCCTTTCCTTCCGGTCCAACATCCGGATCCAAGGCATGTTTAGTCCTCCTATAAGTGGATCGGAACTGAATGTGGTGAGCGTCGTGCATCAGGGTGAAAGCCCCCTCAAACAGCGGATCCTCCCCATCCCTCGTAAACACAACACTAGCCCATCCGGCATGGATCCACTCATCCTTAAGCTCGCTCCTCAGCCAAGAAGTCCCCCGGTAAACCTTTATGTGACGTCGATTAATGCGCTCCGAGCGCCTGGTATTCCCATCCTCATCCAGGTACTCGACCTTTGCATCGTCGGGCAATATCTGGTGGTTCGGCTCGAGCACGAACTTGACCTGCTGCTCCCCCTTGTGTAGCGTGAATTTCAAGTCGAAGGACGAACCCGAGTGTATTCGCTTGCCGGGAGTGATTATCTCAGGGTCCTCAATAAAAGTTATGTACGACACAGGATTTCGGTGCTGCGAATGTCCTGCGGGGGGGGGGGGGAAGGATCAAGTTAGGGCGTTGCTACCAGCCAACAACAGGGTCCGAGAACGAAGGGGTGACGACGTACCTATAACTACATCTATTAAAAGTACAGACAAAGAAAGCCCACACAGAAATGACGATAATGGTGGTGGTAAGCGCATTGTAGCGGATGTAATGTGTGTATATGCGCGAACGCAAAGAAGAAGAGAGGTGGGGAGGTGTAAGAGGGCAAAGGGCCGAAATAAACAGGATGACCCCCAGTGTATTAACGAAAAATTTCAAGGAGGCTCACAGGTGGGATGACCACCAGGCCGGTTGAAAGAGAAACCCCGACTAAGCAGTAGTCGTCCAGTGCAAGGCACAGGATGCGAACAAGCCCGGCGAGTCTTCCAAATTCTTTCGGCTATAAAATAGCAACAACGGCAGGCGCGAGGGAAAGCGTTGAGCGGCCAACTCGGAGACAATGGGTAGAAAGCAACAAAATCTGTAATCACTTTGCCCTCTTTTAGACGGGAAAGGGTAAAAGGAAAGAAAGAAAAGGTAAGAAAGAGAGAAAGAAAGGAGAAGGGGAGAGAGAGGGGGGGGGGTGGAAGGGAGAGAAAGGGCAGCGAATGGAATCAGCGAAACTGTGTGTATTGTATTGTACTCGAGTACCGTATCCTACTGTATTGTATTGTATTGTATTGCGTGTGTGTGTGTCTTGTCTTGTGTGTGTGCGTTGCTGAGCCTTTTTTTAATTTATTTTACGGCGGCGACAACGACGACGAGGACAGCAACGGGGAAGAGTACTCGGGTACCCTAGTTTTTGCGGCCTGGTGTCACTTATTAGGAAGAGTTCGACGGTGAAGGTGGTGGGTAAGGTAGTGGTGTGTACGATATGATACGAGAATACCGCTTCCTCTGCACGAAAAGAGGGACTGGCTGTACGAGTACTGTACGATACTGAATTCGTGGCGTATGTACTGTACTGCACGTACCGGTAATAGGATATGTTCCCCCCCTCCTCTTCCTCCTCCTCCCGGGTTGAGCAGAGCAAGGCGGTGGGTAAGATTGAGATTAAAAATCAAGAAAGCCCCAAACACGATAAAATGGACATTGGTAGAGAGGTAGAAGGTATACCGGTATTGTAGAGAGAGGGGGAGAGGGAGGGAAGGAGGGGGAAGGGAAGGAGGCAAAAGGGATGAAAATGAGTGTACTGTACTACCGCTACCGGTGGCACGGTAGCAAAGCACTCGAGCAAGTGTTTTTACGGGAGAAGCGAACGAGGGAAAAGGAGAGTACGAGTACTCGAGTACCCACGTACTAGTACAGTAGTACCGTACTCTTACAATACAGTGCTCATACAAACAGAATGGAGAGGGAGAGAGGGAGGAGCAGTTTGTCCCAGGCTTGCGGCGGATGTCTTGGGATGAACAAGGATTATGGGGTAGGAGTACAGTACCGGTACCGCGATAACAGAGACCACACGAGAAATCACTGCAAAATGTCAACCATCATAGTCTACCGGCTGCCGGCACCAGCGCAAGCACCTTGCACCGAAGGGAGAGAGAGAAAGAGGAGAGTACTCGTAGACTACCGCCATTCTGCCGATTCTCGAGTACCGTACACTAGTACGAGCGGCTACAAGTAAAATAAAAAAAAATAAAAAAAATTGCAACAATATTCGAGCATAGCTGACCTCGAGCCATCATCTGTCATCGAGACAAAAAAAGACGAGACATGACAAAATAGACCAGACGGCGCAGCGAGCGGCGGGCGACGGAAGCCCCGTTCCCAATCCCAAACTTTCCCCCCCCCTCAATCGGGGGTGGGAGGAGGAGCAGCAGCAACAGCCCCCCCAAAGAACCAACACCCGGTTATGAAACAGAGCCATACTATACAAAAAATCAAAGAAACTCTGAACTTGCTCTATATCTGTACCTCTCTACCGGTATCATAGGTAGCACAGCAGCAACTCAATAATATTTCTTCAAAATTCTGCGAGCAACCCTCCAGACAATCATGAAATAGAGACTTTTTCATGGAAGCTTTTGAGAGCCATGGTTGCTGTTGCTGACCCAGGGGAGTTTGAAGTTGGTCGTATCGGGGGGCTGGTCGAACTGGGGGCTGATTCGCCATCGAGCGCAGCCAGTTTCCAAACCCGAGCGAACGAAACACGCGTCCCCTTGACTGTACCAATGTACGAGTACCACCGATACTCCGTCCAGCGGTCCCCCTTGCGATACTGTACCCACAAACAGCAATCGCCACCCTCTCTCTCTCTCTCTCTACTCGAGTATCCGACAATATCGCGCAGAGCTTGGCTTACATCAGTCAGAAGAGCTTACCGTACCGGTAGTCTAAAGGGAGGAGGAGTAAAGAAGCAACCACCACCGCCGTTGCCCTCGAAACTCCCACCAAACAAATAAGTTACGGTAATTATCATGGACGGAGCAAACAAATCTATCGCACCGGTGACCCCGTAAACCCTCCCCTCTACATACCATCTCCAGTTACCGTTTACCCGTGCGAGCACTGTATCCTGGCGCCTTGCCCTTTTTTTCCCATCCCTCCCATCCCATCCACACACTTTTGCCCCGTCCGGTTTTGTCTACCAACCAGACGTTGTTTAGCTACATGCGCTACAAACGGTATTAGTTACTGCATCCCACTATGATCCCGATAGTAGCTGACGCGTCCCTGGGCATGGGGTGGCTGGCATGGCAACCACAGCCACCGTACCGCAGTAGCGTTATCGTAGCACGCGTAGGTGAATTACTCGAGTACGAGTACTCGTACCGGTACCGTACTGTATGATACCCTGCTTTGTATGGTGGATACGGTGGACAGCGATAGGCACATTAATTCTATGTTATTATAAGCCGCAGGGGTGGGTTGGTTGGTCGGAAGTGCGGATGGGTTATTAATACCCGTACATAAATAAGCGAATGGGGAACTGCCCAGCAGCTGCTGCTGCTGTGCTGCTGGGGACCCTGACACCCGGGGCAGGATGCAAACCAAAGAGGATTAGGGAAGAAGCCCTTTTTTTGACGGCGAAATCCATCATCCACCTCAGAAGGGCCTTGGAACTTTGAGAAACGAGTTCCGGAGTAAATTGAGACACACTGCGAACCGGTCCGTCACCTCAGGCTCCCCATGAAATCCCCTTGTTCCATTGATATCATATCTCGAGCCCCACCCACCTTTTGGGGTATCCGGGTTATTATTCTCACCAGGAGCATGGTAACGGTACCGCGCTGTACCGGTAAATAGTACTGTACAGTGCATAATTATGGGTCTCTTGTCTAGGAATCCAGCAACTGAGCTGGGTGCTCACTGCGGAGCGCGCAGAAGTGGATAAACGCTCTTCTACCGTATCTCCTTCGTTGCATACTTACTTATCATACTTCCCGGTTAGGAAAGGATGATATTCAATCAAGCCTTCACCCATTCATCAAGACCTCTCCAGTCATCCCTACCTGTCTAGCCAAACCCCCCCCCCATCTTAGACGACCACACGCACCAGCTACCGGTATGATATCTAACCACCCCGGCGCGAGAATAGGGTAGAGTGGAGTGAAAGCCTTGACCGTCTCATGGCATATCACCTTCTCGCAGTCGGCGGGTGGTGGTGGGGCGAGGCGGGAGAGGGGACGGTCTAGCTAGGTCCTGTTCATCCTGTGGCCTGTACTGTACGCGTAATGTTGTATGTGGCACTCGCATTTCTTTCTTCTGCCGTGTAATCATTTGTCATATTCATTCTCTGCTCTCGTTCCTTCTATCATACCGAGGATGGTGAGGGCATTATGATCGGATGGACCTGGCTGTTGAGCGATATATCCTCGGTGGTGACGGGTGATAGATGGGGTATAAGTTGGGTTATACAGTGGAAATGGCGGGGTGAGTGGGTGGGTTTGATCGGTCCTACGCACTCCATCTACTCCTCTAGTCCGCGATAGGCAATTTGCCCTTCTGCAAGTGCCGGTACCATACTCCGGCACTCCCAGAACAGCACGAGTACCAGGAAGGACTCCGTCCATGACAAGTTGGATGCTTGCATGCATAGCCCAGATTGGGTGGAGGTGCCATGTGCAAACATCATGGCACTTGTGCTGTAGGCTAGAGTACTTGTACCGGTAGGTACTCGTAGAGAGGCACACAATTGTAGCCGGGCAGGGAAAGAAGGGAAATTGAGAGAAAGGGGGGAAGAAGAAAAAAAGTGTGAGAAAGAGAGAGAGCCTATATTGGATGGAATATGGCAATACAGAACCAGGAACCCGAACGGTATGAAAGGAAAATAATGAGAAGAAAAGGTCCTAGACAAAAAGGTATGATATGATAGATTTCCGTCTCTCGGAACAGGCACCCCCTCCCCCGACTTTGTCACAGGGTGGATGTTTATTTTTAATTTTTCCTCTTTTTTGACCTTTGGAAAAGGAAGGAAAGGACCCGTATCACACCCTAAACCCTTCATCTACTTGTTTCCACTGCTCTATCACACGTGTACCGAACCACCGCCATATTAGCCTAGAACCTTCTGGGTGAATGCAGGGCACTAGCCTGTGACTTACGTCTCGTGCAGTGTCTCAAGTATGGTACCAACGACAGAAGGGTCCGACAACTACTCGAGTATATTCCCCCCATGTCAGCGACTATTGTCTATGCCTCCTCCCACTCCCCCTTCTTCCACAATCGCTTGTTTGCGGCGAGGCATGGGAAAAACTTACGGTCGAGGTATCACCCAACTGATCCTCTTCGCCGGATAGGATCTTTCGGAGGACGCGTCTCATAATCTTTCCCGATCTAGTCTTAGGAAGGTCATTGACCACGTGCACCGCCTTGGGGGCTGCGAACGGTCCAATGGATTTCCGGACTTGAAGGGTCAAACTCTTCCTCATCTCAGAAGAGTTCTCGAAGCTGTCCTTTAGCGAGACGAAGGCGTTGACAGCTATCGGACATTTTAGTCATAGCCTTGTTACCACTTCTCAAGTGTACACGAATTCGAATTCACTCACTCTGGCCAGTCAACTCATCGGCAATACCGACTACAGCAGCCTCGGCAACAGCCTCTGAAAAGATAACCCTTTAGCGCACCGAGCAACGAATGCCGGAAAGATCAATCGTTTCCCGAGTTTCTTACCATGATGAATGAGGGCGGCCTCGATCTCTGCGGTTGACAACCTGTGACCGCTAACGTTGACAACGTCGTCTACTCGACCACGGATCCAGTAGTATCCTTCATGATCTCTCCCCGCGCCATCGCCGGTGAACTAAAGAGAAAGAAAAGGTTAGCAAAGGTAACCATTGAATCGCTTCCCAGAATATGACATACATAGTAACCCTTGTAGACATTCAAATACGTCTCCATGAATCTCTGGTGAGAGGCCCAGACCGTTCTCGCCATACTGGGCCATGGCCTCTTGATAGCCAAAACTCCCTCAACCCCGTTCCCGTGTAATTCATCACCAGTTACCGGATCAATGATAGCGGGTTCAATTCCGAAGAAAGGAAGCGTAGCACTTCCAGGTTTGGTTGGAGTAACACCAGCCATGGGCGCAATAGCGTGAGAACCGGTCTCAGTTTGCCAGTACGTCTAAAAATAAGGGTTAGTCCTGTTTCTTGGCCCCGGGCTGAAATAAAGGGGAGGGGTTTACATCTACAACATGGCATTCCCCACGCCCAACCTTCTCATGATACCACTTCCACACGTCCTCAGCGATTGGTTCACCGACTGAGCCCAATACTCGCAGGGTCTTCATCTGTTTGTTGATGTGGTGGTCGCCGGCCTTCTTCAACAGCCTCAATGCGGTTGGTGCGACATAGAATTGGGTAATTCCGTGCTTCTCGATGATATCCCAATATCTCGAAAAATCCGGGTATGCGGGTGTGCCCTCGAAAACAAGTGTGGAAACACCAAGCAATAGTGGCGCATATACCACATATGTGTGTCCCGTAATCCAGCCAACGTCCCCTGCCGTTCCCATTTTATCGCCCGGATGAAGGTCAAAGGTGTACTTTCCCGTCATGGCTGCGCCCAAAAGGTACCCAGCTGTCGTATGCATAACACCCTTAGGCTTTCCAGTGGATCCGGAGGTGTACAGCAGGAACAAGGGGTCCTCTGAGTCCATAAGGGTAGGCGGACAGTAACCGGGGTACTTGTTGACCTCCTCATGCCACCAATAATCACGACCCTGGGTCCAGGGCACCTCCGATCCGGTACGACGGTAGACAAGTACGTTCTTGACTTCAGGGCATTGCTTCAATGCGTCGTCCACAATCCGCTTGGTTCCGATAACCTTTCCACCGCGCTTGCCCTCATCAGTGGTGATTACCACTTTGGAGCGCGCATCCAGAACCCGATCGCGGAGAGATTCAGCCGAGAACCCGGCAAACACGACGGAGTGAACCGCTCCGATTCTAACGATTGCCAAGAATGCGACCAGGGCCTCCGGGATCATGGGCATGTAAATGGCGACGGTATCTCCCTTCCTGACACCCATCTGCCTTAGGACAAAGGCCAACTTGCATACCTCACGAAGGAGCTCACTGTATGTGATCACGCGGCCTTCGGACGGCTCGTCGGCTTCGTAGATAATCGCGGGTCTCTCGGGATCCTTGAAAGCATGTCTGTCGACACAATTGTAGCAAGCGTTCAAACGGCCCTCAAGGAACCAGCTGATGTCCCCATGCTGAAAGGATCCATTTCTTACGGTCTGAAATGGAATATCCCAGTGAAGAAGTTCTCTCGCTTTCTCCCCCCAAAATTTATCCGGGTTCTCGATGGATTCACGATACTGAGCCTTGTACTCCTCCAACGTCAAATGAGGTTTGGCTGGGTGCTTCCTATTCATATGCCAGTCGGTAAGTCAATTGAATTCGAGCCCGCTAAAGTTCAAATGTTGAGAAGAAGGAACATACTCATAATACTTGCGGGGAACTTGGTAGGTCTCAACATTATGCGCCTCACTCACCACGGAAACCTCTGCTTCGGACATTTCCGTAGAATTTGATTTGAGAACCTCCGAAAACATTGGACTCAGTGCACCAATTTTGGCTACGGATCGAAGTGATCGTGGGGGGAAAGGAGATTTGACAGATCGAAAAGGCGAATGAGACTCTCAAGAAAGAGGGAGGGGGTGGGGAAGTTTAAGTACTGTACCCGTAAGACGCCTGCGGGGCAATTGATAAAACCAAATAATAGAAACGGGAAGTGAAAGAGGGGAATAGAACGGGACAAGCAGTCAGCTTTATATACTGTACTCACCTGTAATGTGCTAGGAGGCGACGGCTCTGAACCAGGGGAAATAGTAGGAGTTATTGGCAACTCCGAAAAGAGCTCAGTAATGCCCCGGGTGAGTGGATCGCCAGACCCTAATTTATCTACCGGTACTCTCTGCTCGAGGAACTGGAGGTCACGGGGCAAATTAAGAGGGTGAATTACGGTAGCGAGCTTATAATTCTAGGATGCCTTGGGGGGGGGAAGGAGATCATTATTTACTGCAAGATATTATCCTTGCATGAAGTTTCTTTTTGTTTTCCTTCTCTCTAACCGCCCGGCGGGGAAACCGTGGCGCAAAGAGATGGGTTGTGCGGGGGGCGGCGGAGGGGTGTTTGTGTTACTACCGTATTATTATTTTTCCCCAAGTACGGAAGGGGGGGGCGTGTCGATCGTATTTTTCCCTGTCTGGTGGAAACACCACTACTCGAGTACTTGTATGATATCTGGCGGTGGATTGGACAATCACTCCTGACCCTCTTCCACCGGCCCATCCACGCTCACATTCTCTCCGGACCAACGGAACTTTCTCACCATACTGTACCCTATCACCATGTGCTCGAGTAACTACACAGTGGGATGGAGATGCCACCCTAAGCCTGATCCCATTCCTCTTCTCCCCTTTGTGTGTGAGAGGGGCTAGGGATTGCTTTCGACCATCCATAACGGCGAAATGGTCCCTATGATACTTTCGCCCGGGCCGGTGCGACCAACCGAGGATTTTACAAAAACTAAGCCCATTCGATTGGGCCTTCCCCCCCTCCAGACCAAGACAGTTGATTCAGTCTTCTCTGGCGATCCTCGCGGCTCGTGGGAGCCCTACGAATACCGGCGCCTCATTGTACGAACTGTGGCTCTTCAGCAAAAGCCGCTGGACAGCCAGTCGGAGCACCGCGAGCACAAGATTAGCGCATCAAAATAGAACAAAGCAAAACGATTAATCGCAAACCAACTTTCTCCATATATATGATACTCAATGTCTTGACTGCTGCATCTCTTACCCATTTTGCCAAAAAGTTACCCTCAGCAAGGGATGTGCCTTATCATTCGTTGCGTTTTACCCCACATTACAACTCCGGGAACTATCGCTTAGGATCCATTTTAGCTCGGATCAGAGGCTGGACGGGAAACCTACTTCAGCCAAGAACAGCCCTGCGATTACCCAGTGACAGACCATGACCTGAACCCCTAATTCACGAGGAACAAAACAATTCAGCCTACAAGGTGTTATGCACCACAAGCCAAACCACTATGATAGTACTCTACATTTAAGCCATTCGGTAGATATTTTGGAGGCTTACAAGTACAAATGCCGGTAGCCAGTTCTCCGATATCTTGTCCTTTTCTCCCCATTACGCAATTATAACAGGTCGGCTCATATTATACCGATAAGTCTGTGTATAATATACTTTCTCCGGTCTCAGACCTGTCTTGGAGGTGGGAGAGGGGAGGGTTTATCAGGCCAATTATTACTTACCTTGGCCTGGCTGTGGGGATGACCTCCGGGTGTGGACCAACCGGAAATGTGTAGACACGAAAAACCAGAACTTCCGCTGGTCCGTGATTCGAAGACGCAGGGGGGTTTCCTAGAGTGCTGGTAGGGGGGATATAAAGTCGGACTCGACGCCTCGGTCGAAGAAGGGAGCGGTATTACGAAAAGCCACCTTGTCGTATGTGAAAAGGGTTTTGAGACCTTCATGACACCGCGTTCGAATGTCTATGTGTTTGAATGGGCAAGGGAGTTAGTTTGTGCCAGGTAGGATACGGCATGTGTTGAGTCTTGGTGTACAGTACACAGGGTGGGCAGTCCCCGATATTCCGCGGACACAGGGCACGAGACATCGGAATAACGTCTGATATTATATGGCATTGGATGATTTTTCTAATATGACCGAGCACTTGCATGTCGGTCAGTACTCGGAGACCTCTCTGGGCGAATGCCGAAGCTCGATTACGAAACATGAGAGAACCTTGGAATAAAGTACCATTGATACCGCGTTCATTGTTTTGGATGACATCCTACCAAGAATTATCGACCAGGCTGTAACGAAGTACGGGAACCACGATACATCATAAGAATGGAGCGAGTTGATTGTAAGGAGAATAAAGACCGAGTATACATATGATAGCAACACCCGTACCGTTTCAACAATCGATCTCATCGAACTTTTCACAAACCCTAACCAGCCCAATGACAGCCGATCGTATCAATTGAGGCAACTGTCCACTTCCAACGGATAAAACCGCACTGCACCTTCCCACGAAGGCCCGGAAACCTAAAACCGCCAAGCCACACGAGCACTCACTAAACCCATTACTATCACCGTTTAGTCATCAAATCGGAGACCGTGACTGCTCCTCCCCAACTCCCACAACACACATCCACACAACCACCCTCAATCATACTTACAAAAATAATCCCCAAACCAATCTCACTAACAACTAACGATCGAACGACACACACACCCAACAGCGACGACAACACCATGCCGGTACGTGCAAAACGGAACTCCCTCTTTTTCATCCCTAACGCCCCCAACGCCGGAAAGCAATGATTTATTTCTACGGTTCTCAATCCCTTTTTTCACCAGAGCTAACGAAAGAGATGATACCCCATAGACCAGATTGACGAAAACCAGAAAGCACCGCGGTCACGTAAGTGCCGGACACGGTCGTGTCGGGAAGCACAGAAAACGTAGAACTACCCGCCCCCTACGTCTCAATTTCTGCCAAAGGGAAGGGGAAAAGAAGTCTCAAGCTGACAATAATGCCTGACGGACACAGATCCCGGTGGTCGTGGTATGGCTGGTGGTCAGCACCATCACCGCACCAATCTCGACAAGTACCATCCAGGATACTTCGGAAAAGTCGGTATGAGGTACTTCCGTAAGCAGCGCAATCATTTCTGGAACCCCGTTATCAACCTTGATAAAGTATGCTCTCTCTTCTTCCCCCTCTGCTGTCCACCCCCTCCCTGAACTCGCTAATCTGAGGTGTTTTTCTTTTCTTTTCTTTTTTTTTCTTAAAAAAGCTGTGGTCCCTCGTCCCTGCCGAATCCCGTAGCAAATACCTCTCGGCGAAGTCTGACACCGCTCCCGTCATTGACTTGCTCGCGCTGGGATACTCTAAGGTCCTTGGTAAGGGTCGTCTCCCGGAGGTCCCCGTCATCGTCAAGGCGAGGTATGTCTCTGCGCTTGCGGAGAAGAAGATCAAGGAGGCTGGTGGGGTTGTTGAGCTTGTTGGATAAAAAAGCAAAAAAATTCAATATCAACTTCATTTCTTTGCCTTTTCCCCTTTCTTCTATTATTTCCCGGGATTATGTTTTTTTTTTTTTTGCGCTTGTATGGAGCAACATCTCTTTTTTTTCTCGACCGATAAATGTCAAAAAATGGTTTCTGGGTCTTTATGTTTGGTTGGGCTGATGTTGGTAGCTCGTGGTTGGATGTGATATTGGGTGATACGATGTGATACGGAGGGATTGAGGAATAGTGGCCACAATTCCGGGGATCACAATATCTTGACATGGAGCGGGCTCGGAAAACAACATTATAAACTTAACATCAGCATCAACTCCAGACCCTTCAACACCACTAAAAAAAAACGTCCCGCCACATAAACAACCAACACCAACGAGCAAATACCAACCCCTCTATCCAAAATACCCCATCCATCCAAGGAAAAGAGAAAACGTGTATGGTACGACATCTATTAAACCTGTGGATACAGCCGACCAGACGGCCCTCCTTTTACTCCTTCCATCCATCCTCTCCCCCCCCTTCACCACTTTCCCACGGACCGCCACCAAAAGAACCGGAGAACATACCAGAACGTATAAATGGATCAAAAGAAAGACAAAAATGAAAACACCACATCCAAATCCCATCCCTCATAATTACTCTCACACCAACCTTGTGAAGTTGGTCGTTTTAATAGTTATACAGTACATGTTCAGCGCCTGGAAGCATGAATGAGCATAGGAGCAATCCCGGAAGAGATGAGATGAGAAAACAAAAAAAAAACTAAGGAAGAAGGGAAAAGGGTAGGAGAAGGAGATTAGAAATAGAAAGGGGTGGAGGAAGAGTTTTAGTTTTAGTTTTTTTTTGCGGGTAGGTAGGTAGGAAGGAAGGATTTGGGTGAATCTGCCAGAGTAAAGAAAAGGAACGAAGGATAATGGGAAGAAGGAAGCCATAATAACGAGTAATTTTTAAGTCACATGCGAAAATCTCGAGGGCATCGAGGGAAGTGGAAAAAGAGGGAGGGGGTATGAGATGAGGAAGGAAAGCACACCGAGAATTTGTATATATAAAACCTGTCCGAACCAGACCAAACGAGGAAAGAAACAAGAAGCGTAGAAGAGTGAGCAGATAGGATAAGTTTTCCCGACTCATTTCATCAAACACGCCGCATCATACCGTGAAACTTTGTATAATATACGCCAGAAGGCAGAACGTAATCCATCTGTTAGCATACTACACCGCAAGAAGTGGGCGAGGAAGAAGTAGTAGTAACGAGAGGTAAAGAGAAAAAGGGAAAAAGGGAAAGAAGGAAGAAATAAAGAACCAAATAACTCCCATTGGTAAGTAAATAGTAGAATAATCCGGACGAATAACGAGGAAAGACGAGACAAAAATGAGAGAAAAGAATACAAACACCTTATAGAACTTATCGCTTTCACAACATATAGACATAACGCAATGTAAAAACAAACAAGAACAAATACGAAAGTGTGAAGATATTGAAAAAAGGATAAGAGAAAGCTCTTTGGATTAATTCAACGGTACCGATCGTAAAATAGATATACCATGAAAAGAAACAAACAAAAACCACCTAGCCAGGTGGATGGCACGGATTTATTTAAGTAGTTGCTGCTGCTGTAGTGATAGTATGGCGGGGGGACTCGCCGGCGTGAGAACATGAACCTTTGTCTCGCCCCCGCCAATCGCAACTCTAGCCCCAGACTCATCCCAAGAAATATCTCCAATTCCCGTATCGGTGTCCCCGCCTGCTGTGACCAATTTTCCATTCTTCCTGCGACCCTTGAGGCCATCGTAGACATGTGTTATCGAGCCGGTTTCAGTGTTCCAGATGATCACTCTGCTGTTCGCACTGCTGGCGAGTCGGGTACCAGAGGGTGAGAAGGATATCTTCTCGACAGGGTCGTCGTGGGAGTTCAAAATGTTGATACAGGTTTTTGAGACAACATCCCACAGGCGAACTTGACAGTCGTTGGAGGCGGATGCTAGGATTCGTTTGGTTGGTTGGGGTGATGATGAGGAGGAGGAGATTGGTTGCCAACACAAGGATACTACGGCCTCGGTGTGTCCATGGAATTTGAAGGGTTGGAGGATCTTGGTGGGCTTTTCCCAAATCTAGATCATCGTGTTAGCCAGACAGAGGCGTCGAAATTCATCAACGGGCTAGTTAATAAGAGGGGACCTTACCAATACATCCCCATCTTCTCCTCCACTCGCCAATCTCTCCGAGCACTCGTCCCAGACCAGACAGTTCACCTCCCCCGAATGAGACGCATTCGCCTTCAATGAACCCTCGTGATCTAAATCGTAAATCCCAACACTTCCTCCATTACCACAGACTGCAAACTGCCTTTCACTTATCCAGTCCATGTCTGTTGCTGCTTCTGCCTGTCCTCCCTTCAATGTTTGGCCCCCCTTTGCTGGGTCCCCTTTTGCTTGGTCTTCTTTTGCTTGCTCAAAGCTTCGCCTCATATCACCTGTTAAAGCATCCCAAGCAATGACCTTTCCATCACAAGAAAGCGATAACAAGGTTTCCGCCAACTTATTCCACTTCAGTGCTATGACAGGTCCATGATGTGGTGGTAATGTGTGCCTCAACAGTCCATCTGTAGTCCATATTCGGGTCTGACCATCATAAGAGCCAGTAGCAATCAAGTCGCCTTGTGGGCTCCAACGGATCGCAGTAACATCTCGGTTGGGGGAACTGCTTGGGTCGTGCAAAATAACTTTGTTTTGAATCGCAGTTAATGAGGTGGCATCTATCGGCACATTCCATATCCGTGCAATAGAATCTTGACTCGCAGTTGCAAGGACATTCGAATGAATTGGGTTCCATGCACAAATCAAAATATTCTTATCCTCCTGCCCCAGTATTACCGAATCCACCACTGTGATTTCCACAATGTCCTCCACCTGCACGCCAACACTGCACCCATTGGTAACACGAGGCTCCTCCGCAAGGGCAACTGGGGTCTCAGGAAACCCATCGGTCATCAGCATATCACCATCAGCGCCAGAAACTGTCTTTTTCCTCCGTTTATGCGATGTTCCACTGCCGCTGCCACCACCGCCACCAGTTGCTCCTGCATTAGAGACCCCATTGATTCCATCATCTCTTCCATGTTTCCTTGAGTAATTGGTTTGTGTTGCCGTGGAAGGTGTGGTAGGCGACTTTGATACCCCCATTGATTCATCTCCTTCCTCATCTACGTGTCCATTCTCTTCCCCAACTCCCTCATCTTCCACATGAAATAATGAAAATGGCTCGATCGTTTTTTTTCTAGATCCATCCTATTGTGCTTAGTCAGCATTTGATGGCACCCTTCAAAAAATAACCTGCACAACACCAAGCGGCAACCTAGAGACGTGCCTTATTCACAAGCGCCGCACACTCCAGGTACTGCAGACCCCGCTGGATTAAATGTATCAGGGCACCCGGCCTGTTTGTTAATCGTAGAACATCATCGCTCTTAGTCGTATGACTTTCCTGCTGAAAGGAAATCGCCGAATCTCTAAACCCTGTTACACACGAAAATGTTTAAACAACCAGTCCGGGGTGGGGGAAGCGAGGGTGGAAAAACCCTCAACTACGGGTCGCAAACGAGGGAAGCCACAAACCTGACTCCTGAAGATATCTACACGTTTTCACACAGGTGTAAGTTGATTGTCAGGAGAATCTCTACAGAGCTACACAGGCTCTGTAGGGCTATTCTAGGGGGGGAAGGGGCAAAAGAGCAGGGGTGAAGGAATCCAACATTGAAGACGTACCTCCATATCAGAAGATTTACCTGGCCGGACGTCAGTGAGCCCGCCATAAGGAGCTCAAGGGACGCACGTGACAAAGGCGGGCAGCGGAAGCAGAGTACTGGTAACGAATTGGGGGTGCGAGACAGAGAAGATAAATTCCTGGGAGCGTCGCTTCAGGGTGGCGGGGGACTAAGAATGGAACGGAGCGTGATACGTGATACAAGCAATGAATGAAAGAATGTAGAAAAGACGTTGGCAGTGAAGGGGGAGGAGGTGAATTGATAAAGGAGAGGACGACGACGACGACAAAAAAGAAAAGAGGTTAAGCAAAAAAAAAAAAAGGCGGACACCAGACGAACGAATGGGGGTGAGGTATGTGTGGGCTGTGGTAGGACAGATGCAATCAGAGAGAGATAACCTGTGCTATCGAAGCAGCGAATGTGGAGGTACGCAAGACAAGCGCGGCCGAAGCGCGCTAACCCAGTGATCTTTTTTTTTCTTTTTTCCTTTCTTTCTTTCTTTCGGGGTGGTTGTGGTCGAGAAAGATTCAGAGGAATGACGAGCTCAAAGGGTGAAAGCAAAGGGTATTTCCAGACCGTTGATGGTGGAAAGGTTTAGGGCATGCAGCGCGTTGCAACAGCAGAGAAACTCGCACAGTATTGAGAAGGTCTTGAAGATGGATGCGTATGCGGGCGTAAGTTAGGTTAGGTGTACCGTAGTTAAAACGATGGGCGGATGGTGAGGGAATGTGGGATTGTTACATGGGACTTCTCGTAGGAAAGGAATAGGAATATTGGTGATATGTGTGGTGTGGTATGGATGGTATGGATTGTCCCCCGACAGAGCTTGGCTGGGGTTGGTTGATGATTGATTGCCAGGATGGATGGGGATGGATAGACGGCGGATGTGTGTCTTTGGAGCCGTTTTGTCTTTCTTGGCAAAGGGCAAGCAAGAGACGCACAAGAAGGTTGAGCAAGTGATGGAGAAGGAGAAGGGTTGGGAGAGTGAGACGGAAACAGTGGAGCTAAGGTGGGTGACGAATAGCAGAGATAGAAGGGTCAAAACCTTGTTCACCCGCAAAGAGTAAAAAAGTTGGTGGATGTATCTTGTACGGGAAAGAAAGAGGGAGAGAGGAGAGGGAGTGGGATTGAAGATTGTAATTTGAGATTGCAGATTGGCTGGGCTGGGCCGTCGGGTGCGGAACAAAAGAACGGGGGGGTGGATGATGGTGGTGGAAGTAGGAAGGGATGGATGAGTGGATGGATGGCTGGATGGATGGATGCCCGTCAAGCCCCCGGCGCCCTCGACTTGCAGCAACAGGCGGGAACCACAGCAGAAGCAGAATCGACAGCAGCACCAAACCAAGCACGGTTGAAGGGGCATACAACGCCAGAACAGAAGGATCTGGCAGAAAACGTGTAGAGAAGTGAGTATGATACTCAGAGATGATGCGTTTACCCTTCCCTAGAACAGCACAAGGTTACCGGTACCGCACTCTACTTCAAGGTATGCACGGCAATGTACTGGGCACTCGTAACCTTTGGTCCCCCCATCAGCACAAGGTTGGGGGGAGGGACCTCTGATGCTCTTCTGCGCCCACTCTTTTCCAGCGAGTCTTGGCGATTGGTGAAAAGCACTCCCGCTGCGAGCTCGCTTATTAAGGGATGGTGAGCTTTCCCTCAACTTCAACCTTCTTCAACCTGAGCACCCAAGCGGGATGACAGGTATGATACTCGTGGGAAAGGAATCAACCACCGGAGGAGAGAGGGGAACAGCTTACCACACCACAACAAATCTCAACCCGGATCTCCTCCGCCAGTGAAAGATGTGGTGCTGGCACAGTTCCGTGCTCGAGTTCAGCTTTCAACCCTTACCACGGCAGTACCGGTAGAGTATATGTACTCTACTCGTACTTGGAGCTCTCTCACTTTCCCCCTCTCTGTCTAGCAGGTGGAATTGTGGTAAAAATCGAATTCAATGCAACGGAATGCAGGAAAAAAGCATGGGGGATCTTGTTTCGAGGGTTACACAGAGGCCTTACTGGCGCCCCCAATAACTTAAGTTAATGAATAAAAAAATAAGATAAAAAATAATGGAAGAAGAAGAAAGAAAAAAAGACCTTTTCCCCCCAAGAAAACCGTTGCCCTATCCAGTGTCAACTCGATTTTCCCTTTTCCGTTCGAGAAATCGATAACCGTCCTTTGATTTGTTTGTACGAGTACAAGTAGGATGCACGGCTTACTTTCGTTTTAATGAGTTGAGCCCTCTCTTTTTCCCTACGGTATCGCCCCTCCCCTGTATGCCCTACCGTATCCTGCGTTCCCTTCCTATGGTATGATACTCGAGTACGATCAAAGATCTTAGAGTACCGGTAAGGTAAAAAAACCCTTTAATTCCTTAAATCCCGCGAATTATCCCCACACTGGTATCCCGCCACTAGTTTTCCTTTCCCCTCTTTGGACCTTTTCTTTTTTTCCTCATCATTGGAGCTTTGACTGAAGAGAGCGAGTGGCAGCAAGAGGCCACCCAAGACTTCAACCCGTGAATCACCTTCCATTGGGTGCGCTATTCGAGGTGAAACGAACCCGTTTTCATTGGCTCCCGGGTCACTCTGCCAGCGAGAAGGGCAGAATATCTTCCAAGATTGGTTCTTTCCATGGTTACACACTCACCAAATCTCAATCACTTGTGCTCACCCCTTAAGCACGAGTACGGTACTCGTACAGTACCGATACATATTCTTTATGGATCCATCAGAACCAATTCTTTTACGGTAACTAGGGAAGCTATAGTGCGAGCCCTACGTGATTTCAAAATCCCCTTGGCTCCAGTCTATAATTGGAAATTGAAGAAAGAGGGAAGAAATAAAAAAGTGGACCGGAGCAAAAAAGACTGCAGGTCACCCACACACATGCACCAGTCCCACCATCCCGGTCCAGGACAAGACAAGAAGAAGGAAGGCAAGGTAAGAGAAAATAAAAAGGACATAATGAAAAATCTTAGACCTTGTTAGAGCCTCTCAGCACTAAGCCTTTTTTTTCTTTCTTTTTTTTCCAACTTGTACTCGTACCTTTCCTTTCTCCTCGATCGACATTTTAACACACTGTTGGAAGCGACCTGAGCGAAAATCCGAACAGGAAAGAGTCCGCAACCCGTAAAATCGTGGGGAAGTTGATTGACTGCCTGGCTGACGATATCTGGAGAAACCAGCCACAAAGGGCTCAACCTCAACTCCGCACGGGCAACAGCGCAGGTTCAAAAAAAAAAAAAAAAGTCCACGCCCGGCCCACCAGAGCCCAACAACGTCCGCTCCATCGGTTCAAAGCCTTGAGTTGCAGTTTTTTATCGGCACGACATCACGCTACCGATCTACTTTCTTTGAGCTCACGTCCACCGTCAGTATCAACTACTGTACTCGCCGGCCATCAGGATAGAGCAGAGCAAACAATATGCCACCAAGAGTCAACATCCCCCCTTTAACAAGGGGTTGCCTGGTAGTATGCGTCTTCCTATCCGTCCTTACCGGCGCTCTTCGCTACCGGGACCGGGTGGCTCGTCAAGAAGAATACCCCCCGGATTCACCAACTGGCGGCGGCGGATCACAGATCTACACAGTCCCCTACTTGACGGTTGTCCCGGCCCTGTCGATAGTGTTTCCGTGGACGTTTTTGACAGCGGCGCTGGTGGAACAGAATATATTTACCTTGGTCATTACACTAGCAACCCTGTTCTATGGGGGGAAGTACTTGGAAAGGGCGTGGGGATCCAGAGAGTTTGGAAAGTTCCTGTTGGTGGTAGCGGTCGTTCCAAATGTCACCACTTTTTTTATATATATCGTTTGGTTCGCACTGACTGGGAATATCGAGCGGTCGTATGTCTCTCCCCCTCCTCTTTCCATCACCTCGGATCACCACCCAGACTAACTAAACAAACGGCGAATAGGTTTGCAACAATCTGCGGCGGCGTGGCGGCCCAGTCCGCCTTCCTGGTAGCCTTCAAACAGCTAGTTCCCGAGCATACGGTAACCCTCTTCAAAGGCATCCTAAAAATCCGCGTGAAGCACTTCCCAGCAGTATTCCTCTTCCTAAACACCCTCAGCGGCCCCATCTTCGGCACCGACGTCTCCGTAACCCTGGCATGGCTCGGCTTCTTCTCATCCTGGACATACCTCCGCTTCTACAAAACCTCCCACGCGGACCTCTCCACCAATCAATCCCCGACTCTCAAGGGCGATGCTTCCGAAACCTTCGCGATGGCATACTTCTTCCCAGACCCACTGCACCGGCCCGTCGCCATCATCTCCGAAGTCGTGTACAACCTCCTCGTGAGCTTCAAGATTTGCACGCCCTTCTCCGCAGCCGACATTTCGGCCGGGAATTCAAGGGCAGAGGCCAGGGGGGATGCGAGCTTGGGAACGCTGTTGGGCGGTGGTGGGAGAGGCGCTGCGCAACCAGGAAGTGCGAGGGCTGAAGCCGAGAGGCGGAGAGCTATCGCTTTGAAGGCACTGGATCAGAGGTTGCATGCCGCGGCGAATAAACCCCCTGGATCCCAGGCTGTTGTTAACGGTGGGGGTAATGGCGGCGTGCTCGGGGAGACGAGTTTAGATACTGAACAGGCGGGGCCTTGACCTTTACTACGTTCGGATAAAAGGGGGTGCCGTAATTAGTGGGAAGCGAGGGGAAATGGGAGGGGTTTGTAATTAATGGATGGATGGATGAGGTGTGAAGAGGGGAGGAGTTCTTGTAGATAATATGAATTCTTTTTTTTTTTTTTTCCTTTTCTTTCCTTCTTTTTTCTTTAATCATTCATGTGGCTCATGATTTGCGAGTCTGATCTGATGGCCTTTGCTAGTGAGAAGATCTGGATTGGATCGGACTGTTAAGGATGGATGGTAATATTCTTGTGTCGAGTCATAGCTTATGATGGGGTTCAGGGCTGATAATATAGTATCATAATAATATTATGATAATAATATTATCATAGCTAAAAGGAGCTACATGAGACAACTCGTACACGGATTCTCAAACTTGAGCACTATCACATATTGTACGTGTAAAAAATAAAAGATAAAAAAATAAAAACCAGATGTAGATTCCGATAAGTTGGCTCCCACATTCATCGGTATTCATCCATTCATCGCTCTAACCACCCCTGCCCTCCCCCAACAACAAACAGACTGACAAACAAACGAGCAAGCAAGCAAACAGGCGAGGAACGAGAAACACCTGGGGTAAACCCGGATAGAAAGGGGGGGAGCTAAGGCAATATAGCAAACCAGAGGAAAGGGACATGAAAATGTGATAAAATTCTATACGAGAGATAAAGGAGTATTAGGCGAGTAAACCATCGTTAGATTTACTTCAACAGAGTCCGCTTCTTCAAGTACTTTTGGAACTCTTTCTCGCAACTCCGGCCTTTTCCCTCAGCACAACCCTTGAGATGGACGAGGAAGTCTCCATCCTCGTAGGTTCCACCGAGGCCTGGTACATTGGGGTAAGAGTTCATTATCTTCTGCGGGATCATGGCCATCTTGGTCAGGACTGTAGGGTGCCATTGAACAATGTGCTCCTATAGGCCGCCGTTAGTTAGTTGACGGTCTGCGTCAGGAGAGGGCCAGGTATGGGAGCATACAAGAGCGTGTTGTTCCGCCTTCTGAAACCCATAATATCTGAAAATCGGATCGAACCAAGCGTCAAGAAGGTAATTAGCCCACGACCCCGCCTTAAGAATCATGCTCCCGGGCTGCAATCCCTCATCATCCTGTGTGATGATGAGCTGCACCCTCTCCGGGGGGACGTGCTTGTACGTCTCGATAATGCTACTCGGCGGGACAACGGGTACACCCCTGCGCATGATGCTATCTAGTCTCTCGGGAGACAATATGTGCTCCTCTAGCGAGAGCGAGGGGTTCATGATTACGGCGTCTTGATCGAGCACCCAGAAGTAGGTGGAGTATTTGTATTCCTTCATGGCATGTCTGATGGCGGGGATGCGCGCCCAGCCGTTTGGTACCTCGCCGATGGGGTAGTCCGCAACGTCCCTGATGAAGAGTCCGTAGCCTAAAACATCGTTAACCTGGGGGGACTCTTTTGGTTTGCACATTCTTGCCTCCCTTTATCGGTGAAGAAGAGGGGAGGATATACCGTGCGCTTCAGCGTACTCCCCTCTGTTCTTTATTATCTTGTCGACGTAACTTTCCGAGTACCCGATTTTGTCGGTTAATAGAATCATCACCGTGTTGGGTGCGCCCGCTGGTCTCCCATCCCCTGAATTCCGGGCGAACGCGATCAACAGTAGTATCGCAAGGGATACCACCGCATACAGTGGTCTCTTTCGACAAAAGTATGCTCGTGGGACACTGCTCGCGGGAAAGGGGGAGGAACGATGGTTCCTCGCTGGAAGTGCGAAGTGCATCACAGGCTTCGGTACTCGTGAGGGCTGAAGGTTCTGCTTAGATGACCGCAAGTGAGGAAAGGCAGAAGAAAGCGAGAAATGAGTGTGGTGTGGCCGATGGAGGCCGAAATCAGGACTGTGGGTGGGGGAGACTTTATCCGTCTGTGTCTGGGTCCGAAGGTTCAACTCATCTACAGCTGTTTTGAAGTTATTTTTCTCCTTTTCTTTCCTCGAAGAAAAAAAGGGTTCAACTGAGGAAGGGAGATGAACAGTGGTCGATCTCAACGGGTTGTACTACCGGGAGCACTTTTTAATTTTTTTTCTTTCTTTTTTTCTTGCAACGCTTCCAGCTTACAGTACAGTACGTACCTATGATACTACAGTAGCAACCTCCCCCTCGAGACTTCGAGGGTAGAGGTAATAGATTGCAAGGACTAGAACGAACCTCACACAAAGAGATTTAGAATTCCCGTCTTTGGGTGAAAAAAACTTGCCTTTAGCCTTCTGCTGGGACAAATAAAAATAAAAATAAAATACAATAGACCCTAGAAGTAGAGTACTAGGGAGAGGCAACCCCAACATCAAAATTGAAGTTCAATCATTCCGGTTCTTACTCGTACGGTACCGGTACACTCCTCCGACTCTAGCCTCAGGCAGAGAGGAATACAAAATCATTGTAGAATCAGAATGGAGTTCGAAAAATCAGAAATTTTGGGTTGTCGCTCCATAATAATATTATTATAATATTATAAACTGTGTCAGTGCACGCTGGGAGACGAGAAATTTCAACTTAGAATCTGGGTGATTGGGCAGTGGCTGTCAAACCAGTATGGTCGGGGACCATTAGGGAGGTTCGAAGTTCTTGGTATCCCACAAGCTGAGTATACAATGTACCACCCAAATACAGGTGTACTGCTTTGAATGTCACCTGTATAAACTGCAATCAGGACAGGTGTATTGACATGCCTTTTCATGCCTTGTAAGTGCTATCATGATATCATAATAACTAAAAATAAGGTAGGAAATGCCACGAAAACTAGTATGAAAAAAACTTTCACAAAAATTTAATAACCTCCATGATTGAAGAACCCTCCACTATTTTTCCTACTTTTAATTTATATACTCACCTCTTTTTCACACTCAGCTACAGTTTTAGTGCTCTCACTTCCACCAATTCTCCTTTCCTCTGAGTAATCTCACCTTTGTTCTGAATTAAAGTAATATTCCAAGTGGCTCCCTGAGACTGTTTATTTTTATTTTTTGGCCTACCGGTGGTGTTATAGACTAAGCAACATACAGGTAAGTTTGAACTGAGGGCAAGAGGTAAAGTGACTGTACCTTTAAACATGGTATACTGCATACCTCCTTGCCAAAAGGTTTACCGTCTACCATATTTTCCAAGAAAAACACCTGTACCAAAACACCTGTACCTTGCATGTCCCGAGAACTTCGAACCTCCCTATTCTGTACTCGAGTACTACTAGTACGAGTACAGTCTTCGAGAAGCCGGAACAGGTGGGCATTGACACAGGCTTAGAAACAGTGCCATCGTCTAAGACTGGTCAATGCACCCCAGTAAGACTCACACTAGTGCTACAGTACAATAAGTTAAAACAAAAATAAGGTAAAACAAATAAAATTTTTAATGGGGTAATATGGTATCCATAAAAGGAAACCCAGGGCTGGTGTCGTCCGACTGCTGTCTCCCTGTCCAGTCTGTCCAAAGACGGGACATTCTCGTCCTCCGTCGTCCTGACCCCGTCTACAATAGGAGGATGGACTGGACGACTAGAAGCACTGCTCAGGAACAGTTACGTTAATATGCCAAGCACTTTCCAATCCAGGTTAATATCTTGGCAAATAGCAACCAACACTTCTAGCATGGAAATTAACAGTACTTAGCGTGTCTTCTACAGTAATATCCCCCTGTTCCCACCAAAAGCTAGACCAACTTTTAAAACCAATCAATGTGTAGGCAATCGCTTACCGGTACTCCATCGTCCAATAGATCCATAATTCTCATTAGAGTGTAAACTGAGGTTGGGGCAGTATTTTCTTGGCTAAGTACTCTGAGTACCGTATTCTGGTTACAGACGTACGAGTACTGTACCCCACCATGTCGGTGGTGCGGTAGTTTCGACGGTTCCAGTGTCATTTGCAGATCACTCAAGCCTTCCCCCAGCCCCTCCCGGTTCCGCCGCAGAATGCACTATCATAAGTGTCACATTTAAGACCCGCACCAGGTGTGGTGGCCGTAATACTGGTAGCGATCATGTGGGAAATTCATCCTCAAATTTCAATATAATTATAGCGTGACTACCGTGGGTGAGTAACCACCTACCATATCGGCCGTTTCCATTCGTGTTATTCCATCAATCAAATCAAACCCTGCGGACAAGAGTTCGAAAGAAGGTTCTCTCTTCCCATTTCTCCCCAATCCCAACACAAACATTCCCGCGCCATTCATGTGTGTGGAGGGCAGCTCTCTTTGGACCATACGGATACACCGTCAAACATACGCCGCTTCCTGTTGAACGGCATCTCGGGCAGAGTACGCTGGTGAGGAGATATGTATCACGTATAAAAATTGTGGTCTTTGACTAACCTTCGTGCCAAACGTGTCAAGGGCGGGGAGTGGGAGAGTGCGCTAGCTCATCTGCCAACCGAAGTTCTTCACACCATCTGCCTGACGTCGAGACTAACTTATTCTTCAACCTTATACGAACCCACGAGTGGTCGATATGCGGAACGCTCAGGTTCAACGCCTTCACTCCCCCAACAGTTGAAGGCTTCCCCGGATCGACCCACCCGAATCAGAGCTTTGTGATCTGCAATGGATAAAGCTACTGGGCCATCGTGAACGGGTCTTGAGGGATCCTACCCCATCCTAACATTGCAGCACGAACGGGATTATTGCGAACATATTCGGTGAAGGAAGCATTGAGGTACCGTGTCTATCCGTACCGCACCATGCAATGCGGTGCCGTTCCCGTCGCTCCTACAGCTCGACTCCCCAAGTCTTACTGCCATGGACCAACGTGTGTTAACGAATGGGCCAGAATGGGTCCTGGGATACCTCACTGACTTGGAGACTTGTGATTCTCTGCGGCATAGCGTTTTGAATGAAACCTAATCTGAAGTGGTGTGAGGAATTAAGATATAATGGATCTAGTGGGTTGTGCCTAGGGTGGAACACGAAGTCGTGGAGGTGTTTCAGGGCTCTAGGATCGAAGGATATGGAAAATTTAGCCCCCCCCGTATTGTACTCGTACTGTACATGCCATTGCGCTTTAGACGTGTGCGTGGGAAATCTTCTGGGGTGGTACATATGATACAGCTTCTTCAATCCTACAGTATGATACTTCATGCTCCCGCCTTCGCTCCTTTTAGACTTGTCATCGGCGGTATTCGCACCGAATTTGTGGAGAAAATCCTTCCACCGCAATTGAAAGGATAGATTTTATTTACTAAGCCAAAACAGAACTCCTAGGCATTTGAGAATCGAAGAGGAAAAAAACCCTACCGCTCGACCCAGACCAGAGAAGAATTTATAGAAAAAAATACACGAAAGAAATTTTCATCGACGTCCAAGAGGATAAGGAAAGGACATACAGAAATTGTTGGGAAACTATCATAGCATAGAGAAATGCCCCTAACAATAATCGGATGAAAGAGACTTTGCAGCTATAGCTAAAATCTCAGTTTATGGTTATGCCTTTTCCAAATTGGGAGGGTTAGGAAAAAAGGAAGGACTCTGGAGAAAAGAAAATAAGAGATAACGTATGAGGTACATGTTAACAACCAAGGCCAAGAATCGAAGAAACAGAAAAAACTAGATGGCTTCACACAATCAAGAGTCAGGAAAGTTTATCAGGTGTCGAAAGAAGTAAATAGAGAAGGGTGAATAAGAGCGAATCTGAAGAGTAAGTGTGGGAAACCTCCTGGGTGAAAAATACAGGTGAAGAGGGGAAAAAAAGTAAGTACTGGCGGTGAAAGGGCTCAGGAAAGTTGTTTGGCGTCTCTCTATTGTTTCCGGAAGTGTTTTAAGCTTCCACAGAGTGCATCTATTCACAGGGAGTATTCTAATAAACGTTAGATATATTCCTCTTGATTAGGAATATGCGCTTATCGTTTACTTAGGCTCAATATCCCATTGTTGTCGATCTCTTGATCTCCTGCTCAACGTCCGCTAAGAGCGCATATATTGTTATCGATTCGCTGTCAGCAAATCTGCTTCGCCCTTGCCTTTCCGGTGTCGCTGGAGGCGTGTTCACGCCTCTCTTAGAGGGTGAGTAGGCACAATCGGGAACACTTAAGGCAGCAGCGATATGCTCAAGAAGTTTCTCTTTGACTTGTGCTCTCCGGTCCTCGGCCTTTCACCAGAGTTAGCGAGATATCGTCGGGAGAATGGGCGAGAGGATATGAACCTTCTCGAGTTTGTTGTGCCAATCGTCAATTGCAGCATCAAGTTCAGCAAGTGCTTCCTCCTGTTTCAGTAAACTCTCTCTTGAGAAGACAGCTGAACGAGCAGTCCTCAAATAGGTCAACATGCGAGCGTGTAGTGTCCTTCGTCCATTCCTAAGAGATTTGTGAGTTTCTCGGAGGTATTGGCACCTTGTTTCTAATTGCGACAACTCTTTTGAGAGACCTTCAACATCCTTTGGATTTAGGACACAGAATTCCTCGGAGCGAAGCTTGGCGGCAGTTTTTAGTAATTCGATTTGGCTATACGGATAGTGAGTTGGCGCTTTGGAAGGCTTTACGCCCAGTGGAAGAGATGGAGATATATTAGTGCTCTTCTTACGATTAAGGCGCTGCTTTGATGCGACTACCGAGTCAGCAGAACCTGGGCGCTCTACCTCAACATGCTGCTTGACTCTGGTTGAGGTATGCCGTACCGGGGGAGCAGAATCGGCGCGGGGCCGTTGGGCAACCCTCTCACTCCCTAGTCTTCCCTCTGCAATTGCCAGAGATTCTACACGTCTCTCGAGGAATGTCGATGCCTTTTGCAAAACGGGACTGGTTTTCGGAGGGACCTGGGGTGGGGCGTCCGCATCTGCTGCTGGCCATGGGGTGTGGGGAGGTAGAGGAAGAGCTAAGGGCAAAATAGGCCTCTCAATAGTGGTCTCCGCGGGACTAAACACTGGAAGGGTGTCTAATGCCGGTGGAGAACTTATGCTCGATACCAAAATTTCACTGAACGCATTATTTCGCCAGCCGGTTGCGGTTTCTGTTTCCTGATATACCGCAGGGCGGCCAGGAATTGTGGCTTCGGGCGACAAAAGTCAGCATCGACATCGTTCCCACATCTTGATATCATTCGGCTGGAACACTTACGAGAGTCCATACCGACTTCTTGGACCGTTTTCATTGTCTCGAGATCTGATTGGCTTCCTTTGCGGCGAGCCGCAAATACGCCCTTTGCTCTTTGCTTTGCACTTGCGAGACTAAAGCCGCTTGAAGGTTGGGATAAGGAGTTCTGAAGACCCGAGCCGGATGTTTCTTTTAGACCCATTGCAGTCGTGGAAGGTGATGCCTTGGTCTGAGGAAACTCCACTGGAGATGTAGAATTTTCCAGTTGTTTTGTCGGAGAAGGATTTCGCGAGTTTGAATAGAAATTAACGAAGTTATCAAAAGACATCGCCTTTGACAAGGAAGGCGCATTCTTTTTGTGCTTCTGCTATAATTTGGTCAACGAAAACCAGAGAAAGAGAGCCTGCAATAAAGCAAGAAACTTACGAGAACATTTGGGGCACTTGCCGTTGCGAGAGCAGCAATATGCGGAAGAGCAGGAGTCTTTGGCGGAATAGGTGGAGGAATGCCTCCACGTGCTGGAAATGGAGAAAGACTCATTATTCGTTACTTTTAGGTATTAGGTGATACCTGAATCGGGACTCCAAACTCCTTCTGACAGAAAAAAACTGCTGTTGCCCACAGGGAGACAAGATATACAGACACCGCAAGGGAATGGCAAATGGGCGCTCGGATCCCAGGAAACAATCTCGGTTTGCTTCTTGATACTTTGAGGCCAGCCTCTTTTTTGCGAGTCTATCCCTTCCTTCTCACTGGCACAGAAGGATGTCAGGGAGGGTGGTTGGGAAGAACAAATAGTGTTCTAGTTTCTTTTAGATATATACTCTTTGGGTCTAATAATTGGGGGTTTCCTAGACGAGTCTATCGGGAAGAAAGCGGAGACCGCGGAGTGAGTCCCCCAATCCCTGTACATGCGTCTCGTTTCGAGAGTACAAAACGATACCCTTTTTGAAGATGCACCCGTTCCCGATTGAGCTTATATCCTCGTATAAATCCGCTGTTATCGACAGGAAAGGAAGAGAAAGATATCACTAACAGACATGGAACAACCACCAGCCGCATTAGCACAGATACAATCAACTTTCCATAAATTTTTGTTTTTCCTTTTTCGCTAGTAGCGATTTTACCGTATTTCGCAAGTGCGGCTACGGTAAAGAATAACTCATCTAATCCTTGTAGGCGAATGCACTCTACCGCATGAGACCAGCTTCGCTTTGATCATTCAACCTCGCAGCAATATCTATTCTCTCAAAGGACTTGCGGAGGAACTGGATTTAGGGGCATTCAAGGCTATTGAAGCGAAATGGGTGAGCTCCTTTTTTGATATCTCCCTCATGCCTGGTTGATAGGGGGTTACAGTGCACTGCTCGAGAACAGTGGAGAGGGGGGCCAGAACATCGTGAAGCCCTGACGGCACCAACCACAGGACAACCGCCCCACAGCTCCTCAATTATTGTTTCCAAGCCTACTCGGCAGGTGTCAAGATGTCTAGACTACGAGCAGTTCCGACTGGCTGTCCTCGGGATCCCAGACGCTATCCTTGCTGCTGAATTATAACTAGAATAAGGGTTTCCTAATCACAACAGCATTTTGTGGGTAGGACAATGTTGATTACCGTAGGTGCCAGTCTGATGGAGCAAAGGATGAACGTTTCATCCAATGTTTTGTAGCCTGTCCAGGTTCAAACATGCCCTCTCTACCTCTGTGTCCAAACGGCCCGCATCCCTGTCAATATCGACGAATAACGTTTTGACCCTCACTTAATCTAGTTATAAGTGCCCGGGGAGATGGGCACTTGTACAGATTCTAACACATTAGCACCAATACCAGTACAATATCATACTACTACAGATTATTTTGGAAAACCCGAAGAAAAAAAACTCTCCCAAGCGAACCCCCCTCTGGATTAGACCTCCAAGCACAAACTACTGAGGGAAACAGTTCTGCCGGTGGTCACAATTTCTAAACTCTCAACAGGACAAGGTCCTGTTGTGCGAAATGGTTCGATTTTACGTTCCGCGGGCCATTTACAAGCTTAGCCCACAATGCTGGATTTGTAAATTGCTGATCACCCTCGTTAACCCAAATTCAAACTACCGGTACACTGACAACATGAACAATTTATAGAAACCGTTATCTAAGAAATGGGAGCCCCCAAGAAGTTCGAAACGGTTCCGTTCGCCACCAGACGACGGGAGGAGTCGGTCAAGCAATAATATCGGGCAGAATATATAATTGTGCTGAACAATTCACGATTGGTGGTTGCTCGGGAAACCTCCATATTTTTACTTATAATAATATAATAATTAACCAGAAGGCAGGAAATTTACTCTTTCCTACCGGAACCTGCAGCTTCCTTTTTCCCCCAGAGGGAAAAATGCAAGCAAGCACACATTACCAGTCACTTTTTTTCGCAGTTACTCGAGTAATGTGGTGTATATTGGGAGCAGGGCATGGGTCGAAGACCCGCTAGGTATGGCGGAGGGACTAGTGCTGCATACTGTACTTGTAGTACTGTGCTCAGTGTGCTGGTAGTTGGTGGTAGGCAATCGCTGGCCATCGTCCGAGTACTCACTGCCACTACCCTTTTGCTTTTGCACGACAAGTTTAGCTATTCCCTACTCTTTTGCACTGCGAATCACGATGCGCATGCATGCATCACCCTTCTACTCGAGTACGGTACCAGCCTACGGTACCTACCCTTTCTTCTCGCAGCAAACACTCTCCTGCTGGGTCATGAAGAAATTACATAGCAGCAGCCAAGTATCCTGCATGCTACCAGGCGCCGTGTAGAGTACGAAGATTTGGAAGTTCGTATCGGCGGCCTCGCACAGACAAAATCACAGGTCTGGGCAACAGGAATGAAGGACATCATCCGGGTGTGACAGGAATGTCACACGGCAGTGCTACTGGTGGAAGCGAAATCAGGGACACCTGGTCCGAGCAGTGTTGGCAGTGACGGGGCGGTTACCCCCAAAATCTGACTTGACCCATCATCCACGTTAGAAGATGACGGGGGTCATGATTGATCATGATGGGAGGGCCAGCGTTGTGCGAAGGGTTAGGGTTAAAATTGTTATGGTGTGGCGGTCACTGAAAACAATTAAGCACCATACGTTGCTGGCTCAACCGTTTACTTATTCACTCTTCCGTTCACTCATTCATTCATTTATTCTCTTATTTATCCATTTACTCATTAGCTTCTCCCCTCGTAAAGGCTCTGTTCAATGCGTACCAGTAAAATAATATGTTCTGATATCTTTTTAAAACAACATATTTCTATATACCAAAAGCAAGCTAGCTCCGAGGGAGGGTTGTCGGCGTTATGGTCAGATAGCAAGTACTCCTCTACCGATTCTGGAAAAGGCAGCTCGAGGCCTTGATGTTAAGGAGCAAGGAAAAGTGTGATGTCAGGAGATATCCCACTTTGTTGTCCCACAGTGTTTTGCTATTGCTTACCGGCACTCCACAACCTGTACTGCACCGGTAGGGGTTGTGTCACGTTTTCCCTTGCATATAATACTTGTAGAATGAGCAGAAGAGCATCTACGGCACTGCCTGACCATGACATTAACTTCCTCTTTTGGAGTCAGCCTACTCTGTGTATAATAACTGTTTCCAAAATATCGCGACATATTTTCCACCAGCACATGCCGAACAACCGCCCAAATCTACAAACTTGTGAAAAAAAAAAGGCGGTTTCATATGATATCTTCGATCTCTCATCGGGACGCCAAGCCCTAGACTATCTGTTCCCCCCCCCCTCTTCCTGATCAACCATGGCTAGGCGCCTGACATTTGACAGGTCCCTACCAGCAAACTGCCTACAGTAGTCGTAGTACTCGAGTATCGATCAATCCGCCATCTAGAGAAAGAAGGAAGGAAGGAGGGGAAGGGGGGAAAAAGGAAGAAAAAAGAAAGAAAGAAGAAAAGATGGTGCAAATTACTCGTACTTGTAACTCAATTTGCCAGGATACTTGTAAAGTAGTAATGACCCACGATTCTGGTTACGGGCGCGAAACGTTGTGGGGCCTTGTGTTTTCTTTTTCTTTCCTTCTTTCCTTTTTTCTTTTCTGATGCCTAATACGGCGCAGTCAGGCAAAGTGGGTAAAAAAAGTTAAAACAGTATGCCGAGGTTTTTATTTACTATTTATTCCATTGAAGGGGGTAAGACTACTAATCGCTGGTTGATTATCGTACACGTGCGATGATGGTATCATACCTTAACTGGTACTGTACTGTACGGTGGCTTGTGATCACTACGCTACTTGCAGAACCAGATGTTTTACCAGTCAAAAAGGGCCCGATATAAACCCAAAGCAGTGTACAAGTACCGGTATCTATACTCGAGTACCCAAGCAGGCAGGCAGAACGGGGCGGACAGACCAGACCTAACTGCCTATGATACCGTACCCCCCCATACTCGCTTCTGTCGATTTTGCGGGGGGGCGTAAACCACCCCCACCCCCTAACACATTCCTCTCTTGCATTGACTACCTGCCTGAATGCCTGACTGACATGATTATATTAACCTTCAGAGAGAACCGGTGGTGCGTAACCCTACACCACATGATCCTATGCAATTTAGGCGTATCATAACTTCCGTCTCCGAGTTCTTGGGGCCCTCTTCCAGGAACAGGGCTTTGTCAAGCGTATATCCTAACTAACTTATTGCAGAGTACCCGCAAAGCTGTTACGGGTTACCGCGGGCCCAGTGATAGTTGGAGGGAGACAAGAAAGGGGGGAGGGGAGGGACAAAACCATGTTCCACCAGAACAGAATTGAACTGGTAGCGGATAACAGGAAATTTTTCCCGAGAAGGTTTTTTTCCTTTTTTCTTGTGCTTCGCCCCGAGGAGGTTTACTTTTTATTACCACTACTCTGTGTACTCAAGTACTCGAGTACGAGTACTGTGCTACGAAGGGGGGGCATGGCCGTGTGCGGTACTGTAGGAGTCTAAAACGAACAAGCGAGAAATATCGTACTCGAGCACAAAAGAAGGAAGGAAAGGGGGGGAGAAAGTACCGTGCCGGCCGAAAATGATGAGGTTAGGTTAGGTTAGGTTCGACGAAACGGGACGGGACGGGAGAAAAAGAGAGAAGGCGGGCCGATGAATACTTGTATCATACCGATGCGGCGCCGTATTGCTATGTATAATGCGAGTACTATTTTCCTCGGCCCTTTCTGAAAGGAGAAAGGAGGATGAAGGAAAAAACTCGTGCTCGCCGCATGACTCCTCCTGTCTTGTCGCCAGCGTATCGTCAAAAGTGGTCAAAAAAAATCACCGCTGGGTTTCCCTGGTTATGGTTGCGTCTGATACAGCTGACCAGCCAGCCAGCCAGCCAGCTAGATCTTTTTTTTTCTCTTTCAAACCTGCTTGCCCCTCTGTTAGGGTGATTTGGGGTTGTGAAAAACGGATGGACGGAAGCATGATGGAATACCGCAGCAGCACATTGTGCATCGCTTTCAAGTTCATCCCATGCTATTAGTATTTGTGGCTCCGGCGTGAGGTACTTCTTGCTTCCCTCCTTTTTCCTTCTTCCCACGAGTGGGGGGAGGGGGGGCCTAGCGCTGGGTTGGGAAGCGGACATAATACCGGTACGGTGATGTGTGTGATGGGATTGAGGTTAAACTAGCGGACGTGAGTTAGGAATTGCGTCTTTATGCCGAGTGAGAAGTTATGTCTCTCATGCCTGAGTATAGTACACCTTAGCGCGGCCGATTCTGTTGCCCTGGGACCACACCCACCATCTATCCAAAGATACA